ATGCTACCTACAACGTAGATGTAAATGTGCACTTTAACATGCGAAGTGATGTCTTACATATGACTCAGGTTCGTACCGCTCGGTGAGAATAACTTTTAACATTTGAACTCACACTTCTTGAACTAAAATCATACTTTACTAAATAGCATCAGTTACATGTGACCATTTTTAAAATGCATTGAGTATTCACCTTGTCTAAGGAGCCTTACGACATTCAACATGACTTAAATACAAGTTTAACTGTTAATTTTTGGAAAAATGATACATGCAGTTCCTTCTCTTGCTGAAGCAATTAAATAGAAAGTATTAGTTTCCCAAGGGAAGCATACGTATTCCTGATATACGACATTTACAAGTTGGAATCACTAGGGTCATAACCTCTTCATCATACAATTGTCATTCTGCAATAACAGATTCTTCAGGTGAAATTAAACTAAAGGAAATAACATAGAAAATGCCTTCACGTGATAAACAGATGTTGACAACTAGTTCACATTCCTCATCACCTCAACTAATTAATAAAAAATTAATCAATTTTTTGAGCAGGGGAATTTTTTTTTTTTTCTTTCTTATTCTTGAAAAAATAAAACCGACGGATCCGTAAAACAAGAAATAAAATTGGTCTGGCCTTAACTAAGTAAAGCGAATTGGTTAGCAAGAAATCGGAAAGTCACAACATGCTGCAAGTATAACAGGTGCAACCAAAGGGAAGTGGACTTTTTGTAGAAAGGTTCCATTGTATTTAATTTTGAAGAAATTTCATAAAGTCAGAACTGATCACAACATCTCTTTCAATAATGTACAGATCCAATTAACAACCATATTATCACCTACACACATGATGCCAGAAACCATTGGCACCATCACACCAGTTGCCATGACAACAGTGAGACACTGACACAATGTACAGGTAGATGGTGAAACGAGATATGAATGTTTAATACCTCTCAGAGTAAGCAGACACAACAGCTGCCCAACCAGGCTTAAAATCCACAACAAATAATGACTGTTACACAACAGGCTGAACTTGATTAATTAATAATAGCCATTATAAACTATCCACTAATCAATGAAATCTGTACCCATGAAATACACCACCCATTGGGTTCCTTATTTAAAATATCACATAATTCAATACTTAGATTAAATCCAAAACTGCTATATAATTCTATAACCTAATTCATCTGATATATCTGTATATGATCTCTCACACAATACTGATTACTTTTGAAACAAACAATTCTTTAAAAACAAACGATGAAAACATGTGGCAATCATTTTATGTCTTCCTGCATAAAACAGTTGTGAGTTCAACAGCAGACAATATTTATACAGGAAAAGTATCTTATCTTACATATATCTATCCAATATACAATTATCATTATTATTATTATCATTATTATTATTATTATTATTTAAACTTCAGCAAATGCATAACAGGCAACAACAAAGTGAACACAGGAAATAATAAACAAAGATACAAAATTGCTCAAACATTGCTTCCATGAGGTGAATGTTTCAGAGATATCTTGTACAAATGGAAATATTATGCATATGTAACCACTGATTTAGCTCATAGCAGAAACGAATAGCTTCAAGACATTACAGGTATTTCAACATGTAACAAAAACATACATATATTTTTCGTAAACAAATATAAATTTATGATGATTTTGCTCACATTGCCTGTCGACAGGGTTATAAGTTTGATTATCAAAATGTAGAACATAAACCTAATCTGACTTGTGATTAACGCAAATCATATACAGTCAAATCCCGATGAGTCGAATGCCGGTGTCTCGAATATTATGCATAACTCGAAGTACCTGTCGGTCCCGACCATTCCCTGTTATAATTGTCATCATTCGAATACCGGTTACACGAATTCGTCTCATAAATACACACGATGACTCGAGAAGGAAATTTGGTCCCATGAGATTCAAACAACAGCAATCTTGTATACATAAGCCGAAGTCAGTCAATGAGAAGTTGATTGGTGTAGCAAACTGATCCAATTAACACACCAGCGCGGCTCACACCTTTCCGCCATTGACGGGTGAGTTCAAAAGGTAGATTAGTGATTTTACGGAAATCACTGTCTGTGCTAATCAGACTGGAACTGATAAGGTGCCCCTATTAGTGATATGGAAATCATTAGATATACAGATGCTTAGGCCGAGGAATTAGGACTGGATCATCTTTTTTTCTACCCTCATAGACATACCTATGTCTCGAATACATGGATAAGTCGAATTTAATACTTAGTCCCCAGCGATTCGACTCATCGGGATTTGACTGTATACCACTTAACAAGGACTAAAATAAGTACACTTTTGTTTGAGAAAGACATATGATGGTTGTATGTTTAGCATACATTTCCTGTAGCTTAACACATACTTTGGATAATTCATATATCACAATATGAATATAGTACAGCTGTAAGTCGTATATCATATCGCTTCACTGTGGTCCTAGCACTAACATGGCTGATTGTTTCAAGTCTGATTCCTGGACTACAGACAAATGCAGAATGATCTAAGAGATCAGATTCCAAAACAACAATTTACAAAATATAATACATCAAAAATAAGATTTACATTAGTCATACCCACTGAAGTCACTACATGGCTCGCAGAACATAATACATAAACTAATACATGGATTCTGGCAACATCTGGGGACTATCATTAATGCCTTATATTTTAAGCAGTCACATGTCAATAATACTTGAAGATATGAATATAAAATATAGTGTTTGGGGATACGATAAAAAAGACAAAACAATAAACGTAATGCACTGGGCAGTTGTTACATTGCATAACTTGACTAAGCTGCCACCATTATGGGTCAACATGCCTCCAATATACAAAAGTGTTTCCAAAAAAATTAGAAATGCTGATTCAAATGCTTGCACAGACTATGTTGGTTTTGATTTGGATAGGAAAGACAAATCTTCTGCAAAGGCGAACTATTTTGCTATTGGTAACCACAAACATTAAGTATGGTATATAGACAAGGGAGATAAGTATATACAAGGGAGATAACTTTATAAATGACATGTACATCAAAACAATGCATTTTAGGGATGTCAGTTGAACAGATGAGGGTTACTGTGAGAGCAGGTGTGACACAGGTGAGATGACGATGGTAGGAAATGACTTCAATATCCACACTTAATTCAGACCCAATCTGACATGTTCCAACATAATACTCATTTAAAGGAGATATTCCATTGAGAGTACTGTATAATACCAGAATATATGCAAACCCTATAATTCCCTTATGTATTCCTTGATGAAACACCTGTTGATTGTTCTAAATTAACACCTGTGTATTGTATAATACAGCCTTCAACAATACCAGGTAAGTGTTGCAACAGCTTGTGCACCTCACTATATGAAGTATGCATCTATCAGAGTTGAGAGTTACATTATTTATAATAGTCACTTTTCAATGTTTGCATTATTACAATATTTCACCTAATAAAGAACAATGCATGGCATTGTGTAATCAAGAACAATACAGGTGTACGACAGGTGTGTTTCAAGGATTACTAGTCACCAACAATAAACCCAATCTTCCACGAAGAAGTTAAACCATATCAAAGTCCCATGAGAATAACAAATATTTTAGTGAAATCAGCCATTCATTTTTGTATCAGCTATGTTTAAAGAAACATAAATGAACACTCCATGTTAACCATTTCACTTAATACAGACAGTAAGTTTAGTGGATATGAATGTTGAGTAGTCAGAAACTCAAGGATATTCCATGTAATTGTACACATACTTACCTACTTGCTACACATAAACCATAGTTAGATCTAAACCCATGCCAGACTTTCTACTCCCAGTGGTAAACATGCACCAAGGTTAAACAGTGGGACACAGAATGACATAAATCTATGCTTGAGACTGTTTAACATATATTTCTTGTGTGCTTTATTTCAGATTTATCCAACAAAATCCAGAAGCAAACAGGGAAATGCCTGAACTGTTCAATTCCAAAGACAGAAAGAAAAAAAGAAGCTAATTTGTTTTACTTCTTTGTCCATTCTGAAGATGTTAAACAGGCTCTTCACTAAAGTTTACTTTCTCTCCAATCATAAATCTGAAACATGCAGACCTGTTAATGCCTAGTAATGCACATGGACTGGAGTGACTGTGTGCTAACCCCTACCCCACTCCCTCTATACCTGAATAGTATTCAATAAACGTAAAGAATATACTGACTTATCTGAGGTTGAACTCATTCATGAGGTAGTGCAACAGAAGATATAACATGGGTTTGTATTACACTCACACAGTCAGGAATACAGAACCTGAATCACGTCTAATACAGCCCATGGAAGTCTATAATAGTCAGCAAATCTGAAATTATATTTCACGCTGAAAATAAAGAGAGTATCTAAGCTCCTTTGAGTGGCATATTTAAAAGTTGGTGAATCTGATAAGGACAAACTTTACGGATAAATGAATGAACAACTTCTATATCCATAAAATTTGTCCTTATCAGCATCCAGGCTTCCTTTTATTTCTTAAGATAATTAATTACTTTTTTTCCATAAATTAATTAAGTTTCAGTGACAAGATTCTCACAACAGCATAAAACTTTTCGAGTAAACAAGAATTAACAAGACTGTCAGGCTTTTAGCAATAAGAAATAATTATCTGTGGTGTCCGAGATGAAGTTCCACAGGTCACTTCCATGTTTCATACATACGTCCTTCCGTACTGAGTGAGTGAGTATGGTGTTGTTGCTTTTAACAATATACCAGTCTCTCAAGGGCCACCATATTGTCACCATGTTGGAAACTGACCCCAGACCTTTGGTGCTACACTGAGCACTCTCATCACTTCTTATATTTGGGGGGCTGTGGGGTAGCCTAGTGGTTAAAGCGTCCGCTCATCACGCTGAAGACCCAGGTTTGATTCCCCACATGGGTAAAATGTGTGAAGCCCATTTCTGGTGTCCCCCCACCGTGATATTGCTTGCATATTCCTAAAAGCGGCTTTAAACCCAACTCACTCACTCACTGTTATATTTGACGGCTCGCATCATAACGATATCGAGGGCATGATTACTGACAATTACTGACACCAGGTGACACCAGTGTCTGCCGTCATATTTTGATGATCTCGTTACGTATATGTAAAAACCCTACAACTGTGCACCACATCACAAATTTTGGTGAACAAGGGACATTACTCCGTACCGAATCATAATACAGAACTAAACAATCGTAGTGAAATATAGCAGTGAAGGTTCTAGTGCAGGCATACTATGACTTCAAAATGTTCACTCCGATAACGTGACTTTATTAAATGGTAGACGACATTGGTGTGTTAAAGAGTTAAGTGTATGCTATCTCGCTCCTTGAAGAGCTTCTTCCTGAGCTTTAAAGGTCCATGACTGGCTGAGTAAGACAGAGTCAGGTTCACGGATATGTCCTGATTGGTTCAGTCGGCGGTGGGAGGAGCCTTTTGACCTGGATAACCTGAAATAAAATGGAAGTCACATCTTGATTAAATTTTGATAAATACCTTCATCATTTACATTGCTCACCACAGAATGTCTTTCGGTCAGGAGAGTACTTCCATTGGATGTCTATTTTCCTTCTTTTTTTATTTGCACATTTTTTCAAGGTACAGGTCACATGTAATCAAAAGGATAAGTTGACCACTGCATGCTTTTAACACTTTCAAGTGAATATGTATATATATAAAGATTCTAATATCAGAGTCTATACAGCTATGGAAATAAATGTATATTGGTATACAGTCTCTGCTTACATTCCATGTTAAATTTGGACTTTGTCTGCAGCAAGTAATATATTACGAGGCAAATAAAGTGGGTATCTATTTTTATCGATAGTGATAACTGAATTGGGGTCAAAATGAACCTGTGGCTAAGTAGGCTTATTTATCACAATATAATGGCAACAGAACAGATTTCATAACTGAGTTTGGATGTGTCATGGCTTCTTGTTTCATTGTTTTGAAGAAATATCACCCGAGAAACAGCATGTCTACAATATTCATTGTGAAGTGTGACTGTTCAGAATCACAGCTAAAATAACATCAGCTTTATACACAAGCTGGGAGTGTGTTTGCTTTAACACTGCTTTGATTTGCTCTGGGATTCAAACCCAGGATCCCAGCTCCATGGCACAACAAAACAATTCCTTGCAACTGTGGTGCCAAGAGTGTGGACCACTGATGTTCCCATTTCATAGCGAGCTAGATAAATGTGGGAAGAAAGCTTAAACTTGCTCAGAGTTTGGGTCAATGTAGTCACGGAGGCGTCAGTCACAATGGTCAAGTCATAGAAATGAAATCCATCTCGATGGTGCTTACTTTTCTTTGGTGTTGCTATGGTGACCAGACACTCCAGCAGCGTCAACATCACTGGCGCCACCTGTCCCATGATTCTTTCCTCGCTTCACAGATGAATGAGGACCCTTGGTTTCTGCAGCAACTTGGGTGTGGCTACGAGGGAGAGATTCTAGGCGACGGGCAGGAAATCCTCCAATCACTTTAACAAGAAATCCAAATCACAAGTTTAAAACCAAACAGAACTCACATCCTGTATAGGAATCATACCCATCTAGTCATTCCATGGGGGTTGATCGGCTAGCCAATAATTTCATTGTGCAACAGAGAGAAATATTTAGCCACACCCAAAAGCAGATTACTGTTTCCTGATTGACTTACAATAGTGTGGGCGGGGCTTTGTTGTATCAAACATTGTGCTGAACAATGTCACTGATTGTTGTATTGTTGTTTTCACGTTATTGATTTATATATAATAAAATTGACTCATATACCAGGCAACTAGAATACAGTTCAAAGTGGCCACTCACTCACTCACTCACTCACCCATTCACTCACTCACACACTCACCTCTGGGTTCGGCCAGCGCAGTGCTGACTCGTTGGAGCTGAGCAGGAGGCAGATTCCCTGGCTGAGTCCGCAGTTGCATCGGGACAAATTTGTTGTGAGATTTCGCAACTTTGTTCTCAGGAATCTCAGGAGAAAATGTCACAGGTCCTGTGGCCATGGCAACGTTGATGGGAAAACTCATTTTGTTTGGAAGGCGATCTAACGTTTTCTTCAAACCAGGCCTTGATAAAACATATGGTAATAAACTTATGTAGGTTATGTAAAGAGTTGATCTTTCCAACAAAACACATAAACAACACTCAAACAAATCTACTGAAATAACTATTTGCTCTTAATTGAGATTAGAAAATAAAAAATATAAACTGATCAAAATATTAAAATGAAATAACTTCTTAACAAATGAATATTTATATAAACCAATAAAAACTAATAAAAATCATGAAGAAAATTACTACATAATGGAATATCTTGTTATCTACTTTGACCTACGACTTTTAGGGAACACAGTTACACAAAAGAACACATTTTACCGGAACATTCCTTGCAACAAATTTAGTGTTGAATTTTTTATACAATTTTTTTTCGTCAATTTAAATTAAAAATATAAATATGTGAAAAGTGTCTGCAGTATAATGCGCCATAAACCACTATAAACATGCTACTAAAGATACAAAATGATACATAAACGTGCAGAGAGGTGTATATAGATTATGCTGAAGGAGAAGACTGGCGCATTGTCACAAGCGTTAGATAAGCTGGCTGGCATTCACAAGCAGCAAAGAAAGAAGGGATGGTACAGAGATACAACGTTGTATCATGATACACAGTGAACAACATCATTAACTTATTTAAGATGGATTATCACAATTAAAAGATCAAAAGTCTTGTTAACCTAAAATCAAATTTGTGTGTGTGGTGACATGCATTGTATGACAACTCTTATATGACAATATACCGTATTCACTGCAATAAAAAGCAGAGGTGTTATAAAAATTGATATGCTTATAACACATAAAAGGCTTTCTACTCTGCTGAGTTATGTACAAAGTCTATGATATAACAAGCTGTCATGGAGTGATTTCTGGAGAAGGGTGTTTAATAAGGTAAATATGGTACATGATTACACAATGCCATTTAGAAAGTGGTCAAATGTAACATATGTTATATTTGGGATTACACTTTCTTAGTAAAGTACAAATTCTACAACTTTTTGGGGGTTGAGTCCCATCCGGGAGGCGAACCCACACCCTCAGAGTCAGGCACCAAATCGCCAGCACACAAAGTCAGCCACCTAACCCGCTCAGCCACTGTAACTTCTAAGTAATCCCAAATATAACATATGTTAAATACGGAATAACCTATCACCTGTGTTACTTCCCAACAGTTGCATACCAACTACCATATATCTGTGCAGCAGAGCCAATCACAGCAGGAACAAGGCAGCAAATAGATGCAAGGGCTGGGATGAACAGGAAATGTATATATCCCCGAACTTGTCATGATATTACCCTCGACATGTATCCAGGAACAAAGGAACAAAGTATATTAACAGTTACTTCCCTTTGCACGTGTCAATCCTTGCAGCCCCAAAAGTGGCGTTTAGTCCAATTTGGATCCAAACAATGTAAATTAAAATACCAAATACACCCTACGCAGAATTGAGTCCTGAGGGGGCAGGTCACCTTCACTGTGGAGTGAGTGAGTGAGGGTTTTTCACCACTTTTTGCAATATTACAGCAATGTCACAGTGGGGTACACCACAGCGGGGTACACCACACATTGCTACCCCACTGTTCCTTCCACCGTGGAAACATCAGGCAGGCAGATGCTTGACATCAAACACTGGCCTTCGGTCACCAGGCTACCCCACTGCCCCTTCCACCGTGGAAACATCAGGCAGGCAGACGCTTGACATCAAACACTGGCCTTCGGTCACCAGGCTACCCCACTGCCCCTTCCACCGTGGAAACATCAGGCAGGCAGATGCTTGACATCAAACACTGGCCTTCGGTCACCAGGCTACCCCACTGCCCCTTCCACCATGGAAACATCAGGCAGGCAGACGCTTGACATCAAACACTGGCCTTCGGTCACCAGGCTATCCAGCTGCCCCTTCCACCATGGAAACATCAGGCAGGCAGACGCTTGACATCAAACACTGGCCTTCGGTCACCAGGCTACCCCACTGCCCCTTCCACCGTGGAAACATCAGGCAGGCAGACGCTTGACATCAAACACTGGCCTTCGGTCACCAGGCTACCCCACTGCCCTTCCACCATGGAAACATCAGGCAGGCAGGCAGCTTGACATCAAACACTGGCCTTCGGTCACCAGGCTACCCAGCTGCCCCTTCCACCATGGAAACATCAGGCAGGCAGCCGCTTGACATCAAACACTGGCCTTCGGTCACCAGGCTACCCCACTGCCCCTTCCACCATGGAAACATCAGGCAGGCAGACGCTTGACATCAAACACTGGCCTTCGGTCACCAGGCTACCCCACTGCCCCTTCCACCGTGGAAACATCAGGCAGGCAGACGCTTGACATCAAACACTGGCCTTCGGTCACCAGGCTACCCCACTGCCCCTTCCACCGTGGAAACATCAGGCAGGCAGACGCTTGACATCAAACACTGGCCTTCGGTCACCAGGCTACCCCACTGCCCCTTCCACCGTGGAAACATCAGGCAGGCAGACGCTTGACATCAAACACTGGCCTTCGGTCACCAGGCTACCCCACTGCCCCTTCCACCGTGGAAACATCAGGCAGGCAGACGCTTGACATCAAACAGACAAGCTACAGGGGTAAAGGATTCTAGGTTGAATGTTTTATTCATATTTTGACTGATGCATTCATCCGTAGTTATAAGGTCACAAGACCATCTGTCAGGCTGGTAGTTGTTAAACATGTATAATGGAAACAGCCAAACCGACCCAGGTATTTGGGTGACTCATCCCAGCCCTGATATCTTGAACACAGCTTTCTGATGACATACTACTCAACTACCGAAAAGGATATTGCCAAATGCCATGATACATCTAACAGCATCTAACTAATGGCAATAAGTGTTAAATGTCAGCAGGAGCATTTAAAAAGTTTGGCATAATTTAAATAATTAAAGGTAGTCACTGAGTCATACTGAAAGGCTGGCAGACCTTAAATAGCATGTGACCTACATACATGACACTGGAATCCCCTACCTCAACATATCTACTTTTTGGCTCTCATGTAAAACTTTCATGTATTAATTGTCCTTGTTTGGAACATTCCATTTTTAAGAAATATTATTTACTTCTCAAAAACACTGCAAGACTGATCACAAGTCTATAGCACAGGAAATAGCATATTATTGTACTGACTGACCACCAGTTTTGGAGAAAGTAGCATATTACTGTAGTCAGAGATAGTATAGTATGAGAGTCACCAGTGTCAGTTAGATTAAAGATCTACCAAATAGAAGAGGTTACCATAGTAACAGATTAAAAAGTTATTAATTCATTAGTGAGTTAGTAGACAATATTTGACTAATATATACATGTACAAGTAATCAGGCTCTAGTATATATAGCGCGAGTGTCGTGGCCGATACGTCGTTGGCATGGTTACCTGTGGCTGCTAATAAAGGTGTTAGTCCTCTGTAAGAACTCGTGATGTGATTCTATAAAGTATGGTGCGACTGTATAGCCACTAGAGGGCAGCACCGACCCTGCGCTACTGTACGCAGAGTGGTGGCTTGCTGGTCTGGAATGTGAAGGTCATGTGCAACAGTGACGTGCCGATAAAACATCATTAACCGAATGTGTTGATTTCTACAAGGTTTGGAATTACAGAATGTTAGTTTTTCATAAACGGAACTGACTATTAATATATTCATTGGAATCTTGTGACATTACATATTAAAGTAACAAAAATTACAGAAGTGAACTTATTTAATCTATGTAGTTAAACATATTATACTGTGAACATATTATAAGAAATTATCATTCTTGAGAAGGTTGATATTCATATAAAATCAGCTGAAGTTTAATGCCAATATGAACAGTATTCCAGTCATATCATGGCGTGTGGGTCTGAGATGTTCACCACTTTGGTGCAGAGAAACCAAATCATGGAAACATGGGATTCGAACCCAGTATCGAGTGTTTCTGTAGTACCCAAGCCATGCATAGAGATATGCAGTGATTCAGATCCGGGGCCATGCCTGCTACAAATATGTTTTTTTTTATAATTTAACATATTTTTCTATAAGAAGTACTGTTAGACAGTTAATTAACTGACACTACTTTGGAGACTGTGTTAAGAGAAGAGCTAGATAAAGTTGAAGGAGAATCATGTTGAAGAACATTCAACTGCTCCAAGTATCTTCTCTAACTAGCTATTCATTTGTTTAAACTTGATGCTTCAGTCACTAATATTATGTATACTGAGCCAAGTAAGTTTGGTATGATGAATCTGTATTAGGATTTTAGTAAGACTGTGTGTTCAGAGTTCACTCCTAAAACAAATCCCCAAAAATATTCATGTTGAAGAAAGGTCCTGCTCAAAGTTAAAATATTTTCCATATATCTTTTGTGTGTTATTTTACACAGTAGTCAGCAGTACTTATACAACACTGGTCGATAATAGTCGATTCTGCAACAGGGAATCCAGTGATTGACAGCATGAGCATACAATCATCCTGGTCAGCATTGCTACCAACTTCCAAGTTCATCAAGCAAGGCATTTTGGGGGACTTGCTCTCGTCCAGGAATTGACCAATGTGCAGTCATTTTGTAAACAAGCGAGTCCGGTAATTCTGCGCAGCTGCAATAGCGTACTTTCGTATCGAAGGTAAACATCGTCTGCTATCACATTTACGCATGAAATCGGGACATTTCTACAAGGGACTGGCTTTTAATCACTAAAGGTTAGTAAATAACAGTAATTGACAGATAAATTGACAGTTTTATGAAAATTCGTTTTCTTCAGACTTTGAAACCTTTTTCTTCATTATTCATAATTGGATTGAATATAAAACACTCTTCCTTACATTGATGAAGTGATTTTTGAAAATAATCTGGCCCTAATACGCTTCCATACTTCGGATCTCCAGCTGGATGTTATGCGCATTAGTTGCTGCGCAGAAGTACCGGACAGCAAGCGATGTCGTCAGAACGCCGGTAAGGTCAACCGTATGGCATAATGCAACGTTAGAATCTTATAGTCGTCAATAAAACTTATATTTCTAGGTAAATATGATGCATACCAGCATGTTTAGTCACGTAAACCACAATAAATAAGAGACGTTAGTTGCCGTGTTGCGATTGATGTGCTTAGGTGTGCGGAATTACCGGACGGCATTGTACGTCTTTAATAAAAGTCACAGAGGTTATTCTCATTTCTTCCCCTGAATCTTCACTTTACAGTGCATAAAAGTTTGTCTTTAAAATATTTTTTTTAATATTGTATGAAAAATTAATAATTAACGAACTACGGCTTGAACAAATGTTAGTAAAACTCATGTTTGGGAACACTTAACATCTGATGCAAACATATTGGTAAACATTCATATATTGAATAATTATAATTGACACATAATTTCCATGTTATTCCATGTCCTCCCAACACTAATATAAAAACCTTGTATCTTAAAATTCTTTTTATCATTGAATATATACAGCTCGAAAGAAAGTTAAGCACTGCCTTCAACATATTTTTCTGTGAATAGTGTGCACTCAAACATAATGTACACACCTCTCAAGGGAATGCAGTAGTTTGAAGAAATACAAGATTTTTCAAGTGATTGAGTGAGTCAAAATTTAACATCACATTGGCAATATTGCAGCCATATTGTTACGTAAAATACTAGGGGTGAAACGATATACCGCGGTATTAGTAGAACCACAGTATTTTGCCTTCGGTTCGGTATACCGTAATGCAATCCAAAAATTCAGTATTTTCGGGTTTCATACTGTCATTTATTAACCTTTTAAAACCTTTTCTAAAATGTCTAGAAATAGAATCATTTTGTCAAAATCTATGCATTTCTTTGCCAGACGGCCGCTATTTTCTCGGAAGTAAGTTCTCATATACCGAACCGAAGGCCTTGTACCGGAATACATACCGCACAGTGGTAAGAGCGTACCGTTTCACCCCTATCAAAAACGAGATCTATCGCCTCAAGTGGTCAAACAGGACCAAATGGTCAATGAAAATATGCAATACAATCACTGGACAGGGTGATCTACCATTTCAAACGTATTTTTCTGTTCCTGTGTATATTTTTTCAGGAAATAGCTTGTAGTATATCATACTTTTTAAACAATATCTCAGTATACAAAGGCATGTAATCATACTAAAGTACAGAAACATAACTTGATTATGAAATGACATGTTTTGAGAACAATGTTTTTGTAACTGCTTGTAACAGTTATTTGACTACTCTTTTAGTTGAACCTCTGCATATTTGCATCACATGACTCATTACACCGAGCATCTGCAGAAACTCAGGTGACCTTGTACCAGCCTGTCAGCAGTAGAGGTGTGACGATACAGAAATTTCATGATATGATATGCATCACGATATCTTGGAATGATACAATTCAATTCAATGCATATCACAATATGCTATCTTTAGTAATTTCCTTTAAAAAAACTATATTTTGATAGCAAGTAACAGTGTAAATTTTGACATGACTGTCAATTTCTAGTGAAAAGTAATGTCAACGATACATATCACGATACGAAAAAAGCATCGATATATTTATTGTCAGATAAAGTATCACAATTATCGATGCTACGATATATCGTCACAGTTCTAGTCAGCATGTATCCAAGGTATTCTACACATCAAATCAAAAGGACACCAAAGGCACGCATTAGATATTTTTTTAAATATACATGAATTTAAAGGGGTGTTGCTTAGCAACTTAGCTATTTAACAATTTATCCATTGTTGAAGACAAACTATGTCGGTATTAGACAAGGGAGCTGGTGAAGAAGCTGTTGGTACAGAAGGGGCAGTACTCTATCTGTAGGTCATGGCCCTTGTAGATGAATGATGAAGAAGCATAATGGATGGTTCAAGTGACTGTTACAGCCCAACGGCTCACTACAATATTATTATCTTAGATGTCAGGATTGACAAAGAGAACTACATTTTATAAATCTATCCGTCATTATGTGAGTGATGTTGCTATGGATTAATAACTACAGAGGTAATCTGTTTTCATCTCGGACTGAAAGGTGGACAAGATGTACAGCTGCTGTATCTGCTTCATAGGGCTCCACTTTTACTATCGTACAGAGAGTGATCACTAGTACATAGCTATGACTTCTTCTATAGAAGTATTCTTATGGAGTCATTGAAAATATAATCAGATCTTCAATTTCATGTGATACGTCTGCCCTAAGATAAGACAACACTTCCATATGATACGTCTGCCCAAGATCAGACGACACTTCCATATGATACGTCTGCCCAAGATCAGACGACACTTCCATATGATACGTCTGCCCAAGATCAGACGATACTTCCATATGATACGTCTGCCCCAAGATTAGACGACACTTCCATATGATACGTCTGCCCAAGATCAGACGACACTTCCATATGATACGTCTGCCCCAAGATTAGACGACACTTTCATTGATGGATGCTGAGATAAATCTGACCAAACTTTGATTGCCTGATCTAAATGAAGGATTCATTTTATACCACCTCAGTTTGGGCATTTGATCTGTCAACACCTAAACAGAACACAAATATTTCCTTGAGGATACTCCCTCTTGGGTGAAGATGCGGAAACAAGCAGAAGTATCCATAACAAAATGATGGCAGTTATGTTTTGGGGAGCTCGAGTTCCTGATTCAAATTACCCTCTCGTCTCTGCAATTCAAGCTCCTTACACTGAAAAGTTACAGGGTACCAGCACTAAATAATATATAACAACATTGACCTTACATGTATGTGATGCACTGAGCCTAAACACGGACAATTGTTGGCAATATGGTGCCATGGTTCTCATCACAATCACAATGGGTTTCAGATTGTGGAAAATTATAATCTGGGTAGTGTACGACATGTCCCCATATTGGGAATCAAACCCGCGTCTTTGGCATGACGAGCCACTGGGCTACGCTACCACCCAATTACTACAGAAGGAATCATAGCTATGTATGGAGGACCTATGTGATAGTAAATGTGGAGCAGTTTATAGCTACAAAGGTGTCACAGTTGGACACAACTCTACAAGATAGAGACACTACCATCCTGATATACTTACAGCACAGTATATTTAGACAGTGAATAACTCCCCCTACAATAGCATTAACAACACAAACATACAAGTTTTCACCAGTCACTGTTTTTCAAATCTTTGAAGGGCATTTAGAAGTGGAATACATAAGAAAAGCAAGATTTTGGAGCAACGTTTCGGAGTGTATGTTTGCTCCTCCATCAGATGATAAACTGCATCAGGTGATGAAGGAGCAAACATACACTCCAAAACGTCGTGCTATTCACAATAAAGAAGTTGACATCCATAAATCTTGCTTTTTCTAGTCATTGAAAAGATGAAGAAACTTTCAATGATCCTTGTAAAGATGAAGTAACATTCATTTATCCATGAAAATATTCACTTTAACTGGCGCAGAGAGTGTGTCTCTTTGTAAAACACAATGATGCCAGTATAATGAAACACAGACATTAGGCCACTAGAAATATATCACACTGCTTAATGTCATCACATCCTGTACAAAGAAAGGCAATATCAGATTAATTATGATCATGTCTTAAGTTTATAGTTTAACCTTGAAGCCATCAATATTCCAGCTAAAAGCTAGAAATCGGTCAAAACGGCAAACCTGTGACTGACAGCACGAACAACATCCATTGCAGTCAGGGTTTGTGACAACTAACATTTAACATAGCCATCCTCTCAACTCAGTCAACTTTTACAAGCACTGGGACCTAACTGCCTCTTTAGACATGAAATCACTACTGACTGAGGTGTAAGAATAGTGTACGGCCAAAATACACTGTAACCACTTGAAATATTATCATTTGGATACCAAGACTCGATTTAGTGCTTTGTTATTTGCACTGGTGCAATCCAGTATTTGAGAAATAAATCAACAATAAATCTGACATTATAAACATAATTATGTCAGCTCATTTTTCTTCTAAACTTTGAATAATTCAATATCATATTTCTTTCATTACATATTGCCATAAAAGCAGTGCAACTGGAATTTGGCTGGTGCAACTTGGTTTTTATTTCAGGTTGCACCTGGTGCAAGTAGGTTAACATCTCTTAAATGAAGCCCTGAATACCATCTGTCTGATCAATAGGTAAGATATGTAGATGTTCTGAGAGTCATTTCCTCCACAAATAACAAGTATATCAACAAAAGAGATTCTGAGTAGTTTTCTTAAACATACAGCAGGTCACTACTGAAATTCTTTAGTGGTCATTTTAACGAATCATACAGAGATTTAAGCACATTGATTAAATAGATAGTTGGAAGCGTGTATATTGCTTCATGCAAAATATATATATAGGGTGAGAAAACAGCTGAATAGTGGTCTCAAACAACACAACAAAACAACATGCATCTGTAACTATGGTGATCAAAACACAACATGCAGTTTTCGGACCAACAAGCTGAATCAGTTTAAACAGGTCAATACCAGAAGTATCCACACAAATCAAGTCAGAACTGGATGGACCTACCTCTTTGATTTCTGAAACTCCTGATCCAACTGGTCCATGTCTATCACTTCCCGTGATGCATCGTAGCCTCCGCGTGGACTTTGTATTGACTTGGATCCTCGATTATTTTCTCCACAGAACGTCACCGATCTCCCACCTTCCAAATACTGCTGACTTGGCACTGAAGGCTTCGGCAGTGACGATTTCCCTCCGCGGTCAACACCCAATGCTTTTGAACCACTATTTGTAACATCCAGGGGCTCTTCAGAGAGGTCAAGGTCAGTTAATAATCCTTTATGTTTGCTTGGGTGTTTAGGTCCAATGTACGATGTTCGAGATCGTTCTAATTTCAAACTGGAACCTTCCGCTGGACCACCACGTTTCTTAATATAGAACTCCGGTGACCTACTTGGGTCAAAGGTCATATCGAAGTCATCCCCTCCGTGAATGGAAACGTAACTTATAGCCACGGGGAACATTGTTTTAGGCACTGTCGGTGATTTATCAACTTTGATTGCTCGATGGGAGGAGTCCCTAGCTGTGGTGGAGGATGTAGATGAGATTCTGGAAGTCCGGTCTTTCCTTAGCGATGAAGGCCTTGCCTCCTTCTTTGGCTCGGCTGGTACAGGTTTCGGTACTGGTACTGCTCTTTGGACCTGACACATGGGTTAGAGTCATCTAGTTTAGTGTTTTATGGCAATAGTTCAGCTAGCTGACAGGGGACTTGAAATAACCAGTCTTGACCATAGTGCCAGTAACTGTCATCACGAGCATCAGTTTACAAAACTGGGATACAATGACATGTCAGTCTGACTATCACATCACATTATTGGGATAAGCATTGGTTCCTGAAAACCAGTCTAACCTAGATCTTCACAAGGAACACAAACATAGATTACTGAAGACCAGTTCTAACTTGTACCTTCATGGGGAAGACACTCGTTGTGACTGTCAGTATGATACATACTACACACGTGAACCCAGGTTTTAACATAAATCTTTATAGTCTCACTCCTCCACCTTTCAATACAGAGGTAAAATTCTTAACATAACTAATGTGCAGGTAATGGCAGGTCATGATGAAATCAGATGTACACAAACACAATCAGACTCCCTGGTTGACATGCATGCTCATGTTAATCACTGAATTGTCTGGTCCAGACTTATTTATTTGCTGAGTGTGGCATTAATCAACAAACAAACAAACAATCAACTTACTATTATCCAAGTCGTAATTATACAAATTACACTCTATAGGGAGTAATGGTGAAGTCAGGAATACCAGCAAACAGTACAATCAACTTACTATTATCCAAGTCGTAATTATACAAATTACACTCTATAGGGAGTAATGGTGAAGTCAGGAATACCAGCAAACAGTACAATCAACTTACTATTATCCAAGTCGTAATTATACAAATTACACTCTATAGGAGTAATGGTGAAGTCAGGAATACCAGCAAACAGTACAATCAACTTACTATTATCCAAGTCGTAATTATACAAATTACACTCTATAGGAGTAATGGTGAAGTCAGGAATACCAGCAAACAGTACAATCAACTTACTATTATCCAAGTCGTAATTATACAAATTACACTCTATAGGGAGTAATGGTGAAGTCAGGAATACCAGCAAACAGTACAATCAACTTACTATTATCCAAGTCGTAATTATACAAATTACACTCTATAGGGAGTAATGGTGAAGTCAGGAATACCAGCAAACAGTACAATCAACTTACTATTATCCAAGTCGTAATTATACAAATTACACTCTATAGGGAGTAATGGTGAAGTCAGGAATACCAGCAAACAGTACAATCAACTTACTATTATCCAAGTCGTAATTATACAAATTACACTCTATAGGGAGTAATGGTGAAGTCAGGAATACCAGCAAACAGTACAATCAACTTACTATTATCCAAGTTGTAATTATACAAATTACACTCTATAGGGAGTAATGGTGAAGTCAGGAATACCAGCAAACAGTACAATCAACTTACTATTATCCAAGTTGTAATTATATAAATTACACTCTATAGGAGTAATGGTGAAGTCAGGAATACCAGCAAACAGTACAATCAACTTACTATTATCCAAGTCGTAATTATACAAATTACACTCTATAGGGAGTAATGGTGAAGTCAGGAATACCAGCAAACAGTACAATCAACTTACTATTATCCAAGTCGTAATTATACAAATTACACTCTATAGGGAGTAATGGTGAAGTCAGGAATACCAGCAAACAGTACAATCAACTTACTATTATCCAAGTCGTAATTATACAAATTACACTCTATAGGAGTAATGGTGAAGTCAGGAATACCAGCAAACAGTACAATCAACTTACTATTATCCAAGTTGTAATTATACAAATTACACTCTATAGGAGTAATGGTGAAGTCAGGAATACCAGCAAACAGTACAATCAACTTACTATTATCCAAGTCGTAATTATACAAATTACACTCTATAGGAGTAATGGTGAAGTCAGGAATACCAGCAAACAGTACAATCAACTTACTATTATCCAAGTTGTAATTATACAAATTACACTCTATAGGGAGTAATGGTGAAGTCAGGAATACCAGCAAACAGTACAATCAACTTACTATTATCCAAGTCGTAATTATACAAATTACACTCTATAGGGAGTAATGGTGAAGTCAGGAATACCAGCAAACAGTACAATCAACTTACTATTATCCAAGTTGTAATTATACAAATTACACTCTATAGGGAGTAATGGTGAAGTCAGGAATACCAGCAAACAGTACAATCAACTTACTATTATCCAAGTCGTAATTATACAAATTACACTCTATAGGGAGTAATGGTGAAGTCAGGAATACCAGCAAACAGTACAATCAACTTACTATTATCCAAGTCGTAATTATACAAATTACACTCTATAGGGAGTAATGGTGAAGTCAGGAATACCAGCAAACAGTACAATCAACTTACTATTATCCAAGTCAGTAATTATACAAATTACACTCTATAGGAGTAATGGTGAAGTCAGGAATACCAGCAAACAGTACAATCAACTTACTATTATCCAAGTCGTAATTATACAAATTACACTCTATAGGGAGTAATGGTGAAGTCAGGAATACCAGCAAACAGTACAATCAACTTACTATTATCCAAGTCGTAATTATACAAATTACACTCTATAGGGAGTAATGGTGAAGTCAGGAATACCAGCAAACAGTACAATCAACTTACTATTATCCAAGTCGTAATTATACAAATTACACTCTATAGGAGTAATGGTGAAGTCAGGAATACCAGCAAACAGTACAATCAACTTACTATTATCCAAGTCGTAATTATACAAATTACACTCTATAGGAGTAATGGTGAAGTCAGGAATACCAGCAAACAGTACAATCAACTTACTATTATCCAAGTCGTAATTATACAAATTACACTCTATAGGGAGTAATGGTGAAGTCAGGAATACCAGCAAACAGTACAATCAACTTACTATTATCCAAGTCGTAATTATACAAATTACACTCTATAGGGAGTAATGGTGAAGTCAGGAATACCAGCAAACAGTACAATCAACTTACTATTATCCAAGTCGTAATTATACAAATTACACTCTATAGGAGTAATGGTGAAGTCAGGAATACCAGCAAACAGTACAATCAACTTACTATTATCCAAGTCGTAATTATATAAATTACACTCTATAGGAGTAATGGTGAAGTCAGGAATACCAGCAAACAGTACAATCAACTTACTATTATCCAAGTCGTAATTATACAAATTACACTCTATAGGGAGTAATGGTGAAGTCAGAATACCAGCAAACAGTACAATCAACTTACTATTATCCAAGTCGTAATTATACAAATTACACTCTATAGGGAGTAATGGTGAAGTCAGGAATACCAGCAAACAGTACAATCAACTTACTATTATCCAAGTCGTAATTATACAAATTACACTCTATAGGGAGTAATGGTGAAGTCAGGAATACCAGCAAACAGTACAATCAACTTACTATTATCCAAGTCGTAATTATACAAATTACACTCTATAGGAGTAATGGTGAAGTCAGGAATACCAGCAAACAGTACAATCAACTTACTATTATCCAAGTTGTAATTATACAAATTACACTCTATAGGAGTAATGGTGAAGTCAGGAATACCAGCAAACAGTACAATCAACTTACTATTATCCAAGTCGTAATTATACAAATTACACTCTATAGGGAGTAATGGTGAAGTCAGGAATACCAGCAAACAGTACAATCAACTTACTATTATCCAAGTCGTAATTATACAAATTACACTCTATAGGGAGTAATGGTGAAGTCAGGAATACCAGCAAACAGTACAATCAACTTACTATTATCCAAGTCAGAATTATACAAATTACACTCTATAGGAGTAATGGTGAAGTCAGGAATACCAGCAAACAGTACAATCAACTTACTATTATCCAAGTTGTAATTATACAAATTACACTCTATAGGGAGTAATGGTGAAGTCAGGAATACCAGCAAACAGTACAATCAACTTACTATTATCCAAGTCGTAATTATACAAATTACACTCTATAGGAGTAATGGTGAAGTCAGGAATACCAGCAAACAGTACAATCAACTTACTATTATCCAAGTCGTAATTATACAAATTACACTCTATAGGAGTAATGGTGAAGTCAGGAATACCAGCAAACAGTACAATCAACTTACTATTATCCAAGTCGTAATTATACAAATTACACTCTATAGGGAGTAATGGTGAAGTCAGGAATACCAGCAAACAGTACAATCAACTTACTATTATCCAAGTCGTAATTATACAAATTACACTCTATAGGAGTAATGGTGAAGTCAGGAATACCAGCAAACAGTACAATCAACTTACTATTATCCAAGTCGTAATTATACAAATTACACTCTATAGGAGTAATGGTGAAGTCAGGAATACCAGCAAACAGTACAATCAACTTACTATTATCCAAGTTGTAATTATACAAATTACACTCTATAGGGAGTAATGGTGAAGTCAGAATACCAGCAAACAGTACAATCAACTTACTATTATCCAAGTCGTAATTATACAAATTACACTCTATAGGGAGTAATGGTGAAGTCAGGAATACCAGCAAACAGTACAATCAACTTACTATTATCCAAGTCGTAATTATACAAATTACACTCTATAGGGAGTAATGGTGAAGTCAGGAATACCAGCAAACAGCACAATCAACTTACTATTATCCAAGTCGTAATTATATAAATTACACTCTATAGGAGTAATGGTGAAGTCAGGAATACCAGCAAACAGTACAATCAACTTACTATTATCCAAGTCGTAATTATACAAATTACACTCTATAGGGAGTAATGGTGAAGTCAGGAATACCAGCAAACAGTACAATCAACTTACTATTATCCAAGTTGTAATTATACAAATTACACTCTATAGGAGTAATGGTGAAGTCAGGAATACCAGCAAACAGTACAATCAACTTACTATTATCCAAGTCGTAATTATATAAATTACACTCTATAGGAGTAATGGTGAAGTCAGGAATACCAGCAAACAGTACAATCAACTTACTATTATCCAAGTCGTAATTATACAAATTACACTCTATAGGGAGTAATGGTGAAGTCAGGAATACCAGCAAACAGTACAATCAACTTACTATTATCCAAGTCGTAATTATATAAATTACACTCTATAGGGAGTAATGGTGAAGTCAGGAATACCAGCAAACAGTACAATCAACTTACTATTATCCAAGTCGTAATTATATAAATTACACTCTATAGGGAGTAATGGTGAAGTCAGGAATACCAGCAAACAGTACAATCAACTTACTATTATCCAAGTTGTAATTATATAAATTACACTCTATAGGGAGTAATGGTGAAGTCAGGAATACCAGCAAACAGTACATGGCTGAAACAATGGTCAAGTTAAAGTATCTTTGTGTAATGACTTCCTTAAACAAATCAGGTCAGAGAGTCTCTTACAGGTGTGATCTGTGAGTCTTCTGCCTGGCTGGACGAGTCGGACAACACCTGGCTGCCACGACGCGGCGACAAGCTGCCTGCTGGAACACAGTAACAAATGGACAAATTAGATGATTTACATGCACTCTCTGATATGATGGGTATTTCGCACATTATAATAATAGTGGATTAGTAGAGAGCTTTTCCATGGTGTATTTGTATCGTGGACTAATGTACCATGAAGCAATGCTTCAATGACTCGTTATTGAATTAACTGAAATTAGCTGCACACACTTTGACCACTTTCAGTTTTTAATATAAGGGGCATAGTGTAAATTTGCTGTGTAGAGTTGCTTCCCTTAGGTGTGGCAGAAACCTATGGGTTGGAAATCATGATTCTCTCATGTGAAACTGACATGAATTGATATAATTGAAATACTATTCAAATCTGAGTTAAAACAAACTTATTCAGTAACTCTTTATGGAGTTTACACACCTGAACTTGGTCTCGGGGGAATATTTTCCGTGTTTGTTGGGGTCTTTGACCGATTCTGCAATAAACAGAAATAACCTCATCTGGAAAGATGTTTGCTGAAACCTTCATCACCATCAGCTAATTATGCAAATGAGGTACATTAGCAGCTTTTACAAAGCTCCTTGCATTAATATATTGTTGTATATAAATGCTCTGTTGTCTAATGGTTCCAGTAAGCTTATATATTTCTTCTCCATGTGACGCAAACATGGCATATATTTGTGACTGTATGATAACTGGGACAGTTCACTCTAGCACTGTATTCATATGCTGGTCCAGAATGTACTTCAATGAATGAAATTTCATCTTTCACATTGATTATGTGAAGAATGACATATTACGACCCTCCAGTTTTTATGCATGGTAAATATCACACATGAAGATCAAAAAACTATTATGCCATCTAACGTCATAACAAGGAAACTAAGGCTGAAACTTGAACATATTCTCATTCCAGAAGGGGTAATTCACAATTAATGGATTTGTAACTTATTTCTAATTTTGTTAAACCTCCTAGCATGGAGAATGAGAAATCATGTCGAGGAACATGAAGGCATCCTTGTGTATCTTGTCCCACCTTGGCGCTCGGCACCCGCACAGGTTTCCCCTCCGTCAGAGACTTTCTCTTCTTCTGTAGTGGAATCACTTTCGGAATCATCTCTTCAGTAACAGATTCTCGTTTTGGGGGCTGATATAACGGAGGTCGATTTGTATCGTCTGGAAATTATGCAAAATAATTAATCATTTTTGAAAGTATCAGGAACGTTGTGAGACAAAAGAGACGCTCCAATGTGAGATCCGGAGTTTGACCTGGATTGATGCTAAATCCTGGATACAAGACTAGCTGTCGACAGGTCTCAGGGGTACATTATAAGTTGTTCACTGGTCACGAGGGTACATCATAAGTTGTTCACTGCACATGAGGGTACATCAACCCATGGGCCCCGAGGGACCAGTAAACAACATATTTATCTTACTGAACACCTCAATGTTAATTTTGAACTGTTTGAAGCACAGGTATCAGATCATAATAAGGAGTCCCAGAGTTAGGCAATTAGCCAATGCCAACAACGATAGACGACAAGAAAAACAAAATTTGAGTTATCTCCCTTTCATCCATTTGCATTCGCAAAATGTTGGTAATTTCCATACATCATACATGACTCAATTATTCAAGATAAAGAACTACTTAGATAATAACAAATAAGTAAGAAATGAGTTCGGCGTTCACAGCGGTTAACATAGACAATGTTCCTCATGTCGCAGGTTTAACACACGACCACTGGGCTGGTGTTCAATGTGTTTATTCTGCCATTTGGGGTAGGAGCCACACTGGGCGTGCCATGAAGCTGTGATTACGGAAACTACACTGAGGGCTGCCACTGCCAGCATGGTGGTCATACATTATCAATAAATATGATAAAGTAAAACTACTGTGACATTTACATAATTATTAAATATAGAAATAATCATGAAAGTTAATGGTTACTAAACCATTATAAAAGACATTTACCCAAATACAGAATACATTGTAAATGGGGTACATTGAAAATAGAAGAGTGCTCAGCCAATCAATAAACGACATTTATGTGTGAGGTAAGATAATGGTTTACTCCCAAAAGTTAGACGTCCCAAAAGTCATACATCCCAATTGTCAGACAAATCAATCAGGCGTGACTGTGATTACAACCTAGTCTTACCCACTGATATAATGAACCTGTCCAATACACTAACGAGATGGATTTCACATTTGTACAGAAATACTTTGATCAGAATACTAATGTTGAAGTTGATATAATAGTTTAGATTACACTTTTTAGTAAGTACAAATTCTAGTACATTTTTGAGTTGAGCCCCATCCGATTCTAACTCATACCCTCAGAGTTGATGGGGCTCAACTCAAATGTACTAGAATTTGTACTTTACTAAGAAAGTGTAATCCCAAATATAACATATGTTGCATTTGACCACTTTCTAAATGGCACTATGTAATCACTAATGTTGAAGTTCTTAAATGTTGGTGAATGTGGACGTTACCCAATGGATATAAATGCACAACAGCATTTAATAAAATAACTTTTGGGATGTCTAGCTTTTGGGAGGAAACCAAGACAATGAGTGACGTCCCGAGGTGTGAGATTCTACTTACAATGGGCTGCACACATGCTCACACTCACCATTCACACCAATATTCCAGAAATATCAGGGCTGGGACACCAGAAATGGGCTTCACAAATTGTACCCATGTGGGGAAAAGGTAACCACTAGGCTACCCCACCACCCCTATATTCACGGAAGGTCCAGTTAATGCCAAATTGAATGTTTATCTAAAATTTGTTCATGCCTGTGACTTTGTTTCACAAACATCTTAACAGTGAGCAGATAATGTACAGAAACCTATAGCCATAACAGACTCAAAGGGATCACTAATTTTAATGTGTTATAACTGATGTTTGTTATACCTATTTCAAGTGAATGATACAAGTGTCTGCATCCAAAACCAGTTCTGTATGCCTGTCAGTTCGTTATAAGAGTGTTCATTATAAACTTAGTTCATTGTAAATGAAAAACAGATTCCATCATTGAAACTGTACTGTGTGAGTGTACACTATAAATAGCAAGCATCTTTCTCGCTTGAGGTCCCTCAATCAATCTTATAATCCCATCATGACTGAACATTGAGACTTCCCAGTGTATTGTCACCAAGTGCTTAGCTGCAGCCGGACCACCATCATGAAGAATAAGAAAACGGCATTGGCCATAGTGACAGTTTATCGTTCATGTTATTTGGCTTCCATGGGTTCAAATGACATGAGAAACATCAATATCTCCAGACAGTATACAGGCTAAATATGTCTTTCTATGACTTAGAATTCGCCTGATTTGAGTGATTACCTCCAGGAGACGGATCAAGTAACTACACACAACACTTACATTCATCCTTGGACGTCCGTTTCTTCGTGGCCTTACTCTCAAACTTCCCTTCATTTGTAAGTGCCACCACCTACAACAGCAGGAATCATTGTTACCTGGGGAGACACTGGTCCCTGGGGAGACACTGGTCCCCTTCACAACTAACTAAGGGATACAACAATTAGCATGAGACATAAATCAAGTGCACAGCATGTTATTAAAATGTAAAAACGTTTGGTCAGTGGCTTCAACAATTCAACGTAATCTGTGTTAAGAGTTGCAAGAGATGCTAGTCTATGCTGAGACGTGACATTTTCATTAGCATCAGCTGAAATGTGTCCCGCATGACAGCTGTCAATCATTGCTGGGCCGTAAACTTTATGAGTCATACGAAGTTTGAACATATTTTCTTGTCCATAAGGACTCTTAAGCCTATGTTGTAATGTCAGAGGATATAACATGCATGATGTATGACACATGTAGGACAAGAGTCACCAGAACATGACATATCCCCCCGGCCCCCACATATTTGAAAGAACAAATCATATGACAGTTTCTTAAAGTCCAGCTTGATTTGTTTCAGACTATGATGTATGACAGATGTAAGACAACATAATAGTACATGTTGAAGTGTGATAGACATAACACAAGTTGCTTGTAATAGCATGACATTTGACAGTTAATTAGGAGATAAACATACTGTGTTGGAAAATCAGAGGTATATAACGAATGGGAAGCGTGAGGTTTTAAACAAAAAAATTAGAGCTGTTATAATTTTGTTATATACCTCTGAGTTTCCAACACAGTACGTTTATCTCCATTCTACGATAACCGCATTATTAAAGGACCACTGATCCAGAGCGATTAATGTTTCCAGCCAACAGTCTAATTACGAAACCTAGCTGCAAACTGGTTAGCCACTGCTCCCTCGACCGTGATGGGCTACTGCAGGGACTGGGTTACTGTCCACCCTGGCAGAATTTCTTCAACCTTATCAGTGGGACATTAGGAAGGTGGATGCCCATCAGATGCCTTTATTTGAAAATATCCCCAGTAGTTCTTGTCTGATTGTAATAAAGTATCCCAGCAGTGTAGGCTTTTTCAGATTTTCAAATGTTTCGATGATATAGTGACCCAATTTGATCCTATTTGCTGTTTTTTTTACCTCGATATTTAATCATGTAAAAATATGATTTCTATTACGCATGCTATGATATCAAAAACACACATTTGATATATTTGAATCCATAAACTAAACAACCCCACTTTGTCATTGCAAAATAAATCTGAGGTATATACAGTTTTTAACTAAGTACACAGCAAATGCTTATATATATTTCTTATGTAACAATAAAGTTCCTTTCGTATCCTCAAAACAGTGTCGGACAATAAGTCAATGCAGAGACCATATACCATATACCGGTATATGGTCTCTGGTCAATGCAATCAAACTTGCATGCAATACAGCGATTACTACTCTCTTGCTGTGACCCTTGTTTAGTGGTAAACCTACACATGTTATTTGTCATCATTCACTTGATGGTCAATTATTGAATTTATAACAGGTATAATTAGTGATAACACCACTCAGATTACCTGACAAAGGTTCCCATTTGGCATTTCTTGTGTCTGGAGTAAATACTCATCATTATAAATTGAGGTCTGATGTGGCATATGTATTACATCTTATGTAACATGCGCATGGAAGTGCAGTAAGAGGAATTATCAGCTGAGTTACAAAAAAAAACATCGATCAAAGGATTAACCGATAACACGCTGATTGATTAATTGCTTTTATCCTGCACAGCGGATTTGTCAAAAGGTAGTGTTTATGTATGTAGATTTACTAATCCATACTGAATACACTCCGTCGTAAAGTCTCTTTGTAAAAACAATGTCCTTCCTACAAAGGATCAACCGCCAATACATTGATTGCTCATTACTGGCTAACTAAATTCCTTATTTCAAAGAAAGGCGGACATTATGCAATAAGTTGCCAGGTGTGCTATCTTGGGTGACCAATGGGACTACAGTGAGACCCCGGATATCCAGACACATTCGTTTTTACGTAAATCGTCTGGATAACTGAATATCTGGATATCTGGATTTCTGTCATCCAGGCTTACCGCATACTACCGTCTATAAGCCGAATTTTGAGGATAAAAAAGGCAGTGTGTAGGAGGGGGTCGGCTTATCTTCATGAGTTACACTTTTGTCAAACTTTTTTCCAGGGGTAAGAAAACATCACATCACTTCGCGGGAACAAACAACAGAAAACAACTTTGTCAGTAAAGACGTAAAATTTGCAATTAAACATCACTAGACAAGATTATTTACCTTTTAAGTTCTAAGTTGTTTTTGCTGGGCATTGTATTATTTGCAGAGATTAAGATTACCGTGTGTATTTGAGCCGGAAATAGCAATCAGCTGTGCACACGTTTCCCGGCGATCAAGTTCAAACATGCACAATAATATAGTAGGTGTTTGAACGGTAGCGAGCTTACACTTTTGGTTTACAATTACTTCCAAAACAGCATGGTCGTTTTGATTTGACAACGACAATTTACTCTGTGTCAGAGTGGCCTACTAATCACCACCAATACCCTGCTGATCGGTCATTAATCCGGATTAGCAGACCTTGTCTCGTGTCAAAACACGTGGGACTCTCGCGCTTCCCTTCACAAGGTCAGCGGTAGATCAAAGCTTCGTGCGGTTAAGTGAGTCAATTTTGTGTTGCTTTGAAAAATTTACCGTCCGGGAACAGAAACCGCATATCCATTATAGACAGTCACTTTTATAACATAAGAGATTGATTTTTTATGAAAATTGACCGGAAGGCGAGGTTTCCGGATATTTGGGGTCCGGGTATCTGGCGTCTCACTGTATACACCAATGTGAAAAACGTGAAACGATAGATCACTTTTTTGCATATTAGACTGTTAAAAGACACATGACATAGAACAGGATACTTTGTCAGCTGCAGATGAATGGCATCTCATTCCTTTATGTGGATATTGATGGATACATTCCCCGAACAAGGTAATAGCCTGATATTGTTGCTATAACTTAAGTCTGTTTTAATTTTAATATTTGCAATTTGTTTTTATTTATTCGTTTAATGTTATGGCATTCAACAGAATCATTTTTTTTTGCTGTGAAGTGTAATGAGACGGACAACATACACTAGGTCGCACTTAGGACGAGTGTGTGAAATATGATACACGATTGCAATCTATAAGATGTCTAGATATTACAGTCATGTTATAAATTCACTAAGTATAAGCAGATCGTGTGCATTTTATTAAGTTTCAAAATGCATACAAATATGATAGTAAACTAATTAGGATTATAAGACAAAATATAAACATGTACATTGACTTCGTTATTTCAGTCCTAACATTTTTTACCACTGGCAGATGGTTAAACTTAAAATGTTTTCATCTGTTATCAAAATAATGCCATTTAGTACAACATTCAGATTGACTAGTAGTGAACCCAAGCTCACTACTCTCCCCAAGACTCCTCATGTACTTAGTTAGTCTTACTTTCAAACAATACTATTATATCAGGCTTCTCACCAAATTCAAGATCAAACTATTTTTAAATCAAATTCTGCATCCATTTAGGTTAACATTTTTATAAAGTCAACATTACTATGAAATCAAAAATTTTACATCAAAATCAGCATTTTTATCAAAGTGAATATGTTTTTATAAGAAACCAAATTTTTCATCAAAGTCTACATAACTTTACAACAAAATCAACATAAGATTATCAAGTAAAAAAGATTTCATCTTTGTTGATCAGTCTATACTTATACTATCAATTGAGCATGAGGGTGGTGCAGCAGAGGTAACGAACCAGTCATGAATTCTGGGATATCATCTGGGTACTCAATGGAGAAAATCAATAACAAAAGCAACAACCAGTCCACGGAAATTGCTCTGGATCAGTGTCTCTTTAAGATTTAAAAAAAATACATACTTGGTTTGAAAATCAGAGGTATATAACGTGATTGATAATATGATTAACCAATCACAATCCAGTATTTACTGAAGTCATTGTAGAATCAGCCTTGTTACACATGCAATATGTAAAAGTTACGATACATAACAATTGCTATATGTAACACATACAATACAATACACATTCAATATGAATGACTTACGACACATAACACACGCTATACATACCACAAACGTGTACTCTGTATCGGGTGTCAACCTGCGGGCATTGTAGCAGAGATCAGTTCCTGAGTACACTGTCTTGCCGTTCATGATGACGTCATAGCGGGTGATTCTGCCAAGAGGAACCTCCGGTGGACCCCAGGTCAAGTTGACCTCATTGCGACCCAACACATGGACTTGAGGTCGGGACGGGGCATGGGCACCTGGATGACATGGGGGAGTGACTGTCAATAGTGCTTGTAATCTCTAGGTCATGGAATAATGACTGTCAATAGTGCTTGTATTCCCTAGGTCATGGAATAATGACTGTCAATAGTGCTTGTATTCACTAGGTCATGGAATAATGACTGTCAATAGTGCTTGTATTCCCTAGGTCATGGAATAATGACTGTCAATAGTGCTTGCATTCCGTAGGTCATGGAATAATGACTGTCAATGGTGCTTGAATTCTCTAGGTCATGGAATAATGACTGTCAATAGTGCTTGTATTCCCAGGTCATGGAATAATGACTGTCAATAGTGCTTGCATTCCCTAGGTCATGGAATAATGACTGTCAATAGTGCTTGTATTCCCTAGGTCATGGAATAATGACTATCAATAGTGCTTGCATTCCCTAGTTCATGGAATAATGACTGTCAGTAGTGCTTGCATTCACTAGGTCATGGAATATTATTAAAATCTAAATATTTTAGATATTTAAATACTTACCTTACCATAGGTCTTATGCATATTACCTCAAGCTCCGCTTAAAGAGATCAGACAGTCGTTGATTCGCCATTCTGTAGAACGGCCACCTCGTGAATCGACGAGTGTACCGGCAACGGAAGTGACGTGATCTCCCCTCCCGCGCAAGCGCGGTCCATCCAAAATCACTTTTACTGACCAGGTCCGAAGAGCCCAGAGAGGGGAGGAGCATCCAGCGTTGGGAGGGAGTTACCGCCCTATGGTAAGGTAAGTATTTAAATATCTAAAATATTTAGATTTTAATAAATTTTTTAACTTACCTTACCATAGGTCTTATGCATATGGATTCGACAGTAGGACGGCGTGTGTCGGGCTCCAGAGGACCGTCCCCATGAAAACCCACATGCCAAGGGAAAACCAGAAGAAACTACTGAATCGCCAGACTGTCGCAGGAGGCGCTTCGGAACAGGAGACAGATAGTGACTAAAGGCAACCCTAAGGAAAACAAATACACCCTGAGTGTAAGTTAACCTGAAGACCAGAAGGTAAGAAGAAGTAGTTACCTAATGGCGGTAGGATGGGTGAGTTGCTGAGCAACCACCAGTGGACCAAACGATTGAAGACCTTCCACGCCCTCGACGGCCAAATCCTGCAGGTAATGACTAGCGAAGACAGTAGAGGACTTCCAAAACAACCCTCCATGATGGCTGGAACGGTGCAGTTTCTGTGGAGAGCCATGGTGGATGCCAGAGCCCTAATCTCAGCGCGGATTAGTGGCTGTAGGATGAGGCAGATCTTGGCGATCGAGGGCGGGTCAGGATGGTAGTATCGAGCCAGAGCTGCCAGTTATTCTTATTAACTTCACCTTTGGCCACAGAAGATAACGGGATGAGAACAGTCTCTCACGAGACTGCCTCCTGGAAGATGATGGCAATATAAACCCGCGTGCCCTCACGGACAAAGCAGCTGTTCCTCAGCCGCCACGTGAGGTCCTAGAATGGAAGACAAAGGAGGGATAGAGAAGATCCTATCCGGTTGTCCCGCAGCTGGTTCTGGCCACGAAGTCCCAAAGCAGTCCGAGATGAACAAGACCATGCCGCGGACTGCTCAAAACGCACCCTGGTGACATCCAATGCGGATCTCACTAACCCTAGCTGCTGTGGCCAGGGCCAAGAGAAAAGCTGTCTTCCTGGAGAGGTTCTCAAAGAAGCCGCGGTCCAAAGGCTCATAAGGGGGACCTCTCAGATGACTTAAGAATCCACGCTTAGGTCCCAAGCCGGAGGATCGAGCTTTGTTCTTCTGGTCCTCCAGCTTAAAACGCTTTGAGGACGGCGATGAGTTCTGGCACCTTGGAAATCTTTTTTGTCGCGACTTGACCGCCAGAACGGGAGTTAAGAGCCGATAAATAAGTTCCTATAGTGTTGCCCCTGAGACTGACTCAAGAAAGAGAAGGAACTCTGCTATAAACTGAGGAGAAGCCTTCAATGGTCCTCCTGGACTTCTGTGCACAAACTTCTCAAAAGAAACCCACTTATCATCATAGAGTGATCTTGTGGAGACTCGATGAGTTAACGCGAGCAATAACCTTGGCGACACCGCGGAGAAGCCCTTTGGCCTTCAGCCTTTGCAGATGATCCAACCGCGACAGATGAAACCGAAGTCCGGATCGGGATGCCACTGTCGACTGTGGGGATGCCTGAGCAGGTGAGGCCAGTCTGGTAACTGTTATGGACTTCTTTCGGCCAGACGGCGAGATCTGGGAACCAGGTTCTGGCTGGCCACCAAGGCGCGACCAAAAGCAGACGAATCGCTCTCTCTGTCCGCTTGACTTTGCTATTACCGCTGGCAACAGAACTGGTGGTGGAAAGGCGCATTAACGCCCAGAGACCCTCCACGACAAGGACATGGCGCCGACCGCCCATGCCGCTGATCTGGAATCGAGACATCGCATTAACGGCAGCTGTGTGTTGAAGCGAAATCGCAAAACAGGTCGATCAGAGGGCGGCGCGGACTGACAAAGAAGTTTGAACGCTTCTGGATGTAGCATCCACTCTGTTGGAGACGGTTTGCCCCGCCTTGAGAGAGCGCCTTTGCCAAAACGCTCTTGCACCCTGGGATGTGTCGGGCTCTACGCTGATGCCATTGTCGCCCAGGAGACTGGCCAGCTGGAACGCCTGCTCCAACAACTGTTTGGACCTGGTCGCTCCCCTGATTGTGAATCAACCACACCACCGTGCGGAATTGTCCCACGCTATCAGGAGCCTGGTGTTCCCGCAACAGAGGCACCCAGTGTCGAACCGCTAAAAATGACTGCTTGCAGCTCCAAGTTGTTGATGTGCCATCCTAGCTCGGTGCCTGACCACAGCCCCGTAGGTGGTTCGGTCGAGGTGAGCACCCCAACCTTGAAGAGACGATTCATCTACCGTAACAGTTCGTGATCGTAGAACAAACTCTGTCAAGGAGACTCCCTCGCGCAGATCGCTCGACTCGACAGTCCACCAACGAGGTAAGCGCTGAGATGCAGGGGCAAAAGGAACCTCAACTGCAGGTCGTCCGCCTGGATGTAAGGCAACAGGAAGGGCTGTAACGGCGGGCATCAAGCCGCACCTCTGAGTCAAGTCCTGGGCTGAGGTGAGGAGACCCTAAGAGGGACTGCTACTCCCTGAGCACCCAGCGGCTGATAGACCTCGTTGGCTTAAACTGACAATCTTTCTCCAGCTTATCTAGCGGAATCCTGACAAGGTCGCAATGTGTCAGGAAGAGGCCTCCCTATAAACGTCGAAGTTCCTGGGGACGGCCCAGGTGGGATTTTGTCTATGTTGATAATCCATCCCAGTTGCTGCAAGAGATGAATGGCAAAGTGCATCTGTTTGGCGTAAGCAACTGAGGGTCGAGTGGTTCTATGAGACAGTCGCCTATATAAGGGTCAAGTCGATGCCCCTGAGATTGAGGAACCGGGTGATCGGGCAGGTAATCCGAGGAAAGCCGCCGGGCCGTGGAAATTCCAAATGGAAGCACTTTTCGCACTGGTAGTGGGACCCGCTGAAAAAGAACCTCAGGTACTTTCTGTGACGGTGGTAAATGGGCACATGCAGGCAGGCATCCTGAAGGTCGAGGCTGGCCAACCAGACCCTGGGCGCAAGCTTGGCTCAGTAGCTGTTCCAGGGACACCATCGCGAAGTGAGGCGTTCCGAAGATAAAGGTGGTTGAAACTGCCATGTTGTGAATCATTCAGAAGTTTCCTGAGTCCTTCTTTGGGAACCAGGAAGATTGGTGAGATAGAACCCGGGACTGTCGGGGTCTAGCACTGTCTCTATAGCTTGAGCCGGCGCAACAGAGTGTGGATGCTGTCTGCTAGCAGTAACTGTTGGTCTGGAGCATACACACGTGACTGGGGTGTTGAAGCCAGAGGCGACATCGTACATTGGCAGCTTGTAACCGGTCCTGAGAATGTTGGTGATAAACGGGTCTTCCAGGATTGTCCAATTGGGCCAGAAGATCCCAGTCTCCCGCCTACTGGAGTAGGATCGAACCGCACGACTGCTGGTGGAGGTCCCAGTCGTGTTGGGTCGCAACTTCAGCTTAATCGGAGCGGCGGGCGCCCCTACCCCTGCCGGGCGTGGTTGGGGGTCCCTGGACGATCCTGCTGACGGCGCTGAAAAACAGGTTCGATCTGCCACGCCACGCCCTTCTGCCAGAGGCGCTGACGACGAGTCTCTTCGGACGTAACGGGCGCTTCCCTCTACCCCTTGCAGATGATCTGCCACTTAAAGGTCAACTCAAAGCTTCAACGAGACAAAGAAACCTCCGTGATTGGTAAGCTCTGCGTGTTCCTTATACACCCGAATGCCGCCATTAAAGAGGAAACGCGACCAAAAGGCTCTTAACAGTTTCCTTTAAACTCTTCCTGCCAAGAACAGGGCTCCAGGAAACCCATCCGGCGCAACAACCGCTGTCATGGCCAGAGCCGCCCGGAGGTGCGCCAGCAAATCATGCAACACCTTGCCCTGCCATTGAAACAGGGTGGTAAGATGTTCTAACCTTGACGCGGTTGTCTTCGTCAGATCCCAAGCAGTAGCCGGTTGCCGAGGCCAACGCTGATACCGGGCTTCAACATCCGCTTTGAGTTCTGCATCAATGGCCAACATCTTGGAGTCCTGCACTCGTAGGATGCCTGTGGGGAAGCCGATAAGCTTTTGAGGACTCATTCGCCATGAGCCGCGACCTCCATCGGCAAAATCCAAACTATGAATCTTGTAGTCTCCTTTGCGCGACTTTGGAGCCTTTATCGCGGGTATTGAGAGACAAAGTAGCAAAATCAGCGCCCAAAGAAGCTACAGCATCGCCACCATCGGGTGAGGCGGAGGAGTAACTCCGAGAAGACCGAATAGCCTTCGGTCTGGGCCGAACCTGAAGAGGGAGAAGGACAATCCGCAGTCTGTCGGCAATCCAGTCGAACACAGCAGAGAGAGGGAGGTAGGTGCCCCCCATCATCATCATCCTCTTGCAACATTTCTCATTATAATCGGAGAAAATAGCGCCCTCAGTGTCCTCCCAGGACACGGTAGGAGCAGTAAATCGCTGACCGAGGCAGCAGGCTTCGTGGGCGACCGATGACAACTGAGAAGCAGCACTCAAAGTAACTGTCGGGAACGTGGACGACGCCGGGCGAAGCGCTTAACAGGAGGTGACCTTGAACGGGACCGACGGTATCGCCACCACGCATCGGTGACTCCTTGAGCTTCCCCTATCCTTGGAACGTATCGGGAGAGCTGCAGACCTGAATCAGACCGACGACGCTTAAGAGAAGTATCCCAACTAAGACGAGGACTCCTAGACCGATGATGCTGCCAAGGAGACCTGGAACGAGATCGCCGAGCACGATGGGAACGCCGGGCGCCCTGACGCCGGGAACGCTCTTCCATTAACTGACGCTAGGTTCTCCCTCTCTAGACACTGTAGCCTTCCTGGGGATACGGTAGTCTGCCAAAGGCGTCGGAGTTGGCGCTGGCGTTGGTACAGGCGTCGGCGTCGGCATGGGCGCCGGCGTCCGCATGGGCGTCGGCGTAGGCATCGACGTTGGTTGAAGCAACAAGTCAGCAACTGGAGAATCTGGTGCCACAGGCGCCGGCGAGGGACAAAGCTAGGCAACGGCGCTGGAACGGTGTTGTTAGCTTCGCAGCTTGCCGCAAAAGGAGCCGTCCGGCAACTTCTGAACCTCCGGATGCGACAAAGCCGCCCGGTGGGATAGGTCAACAAAGGCGCCAGACGAAGCGCTTGGCTTCAGGCGCCAGCAAACGAGGCGCAGGGGTGGACGGCTGATCTATCACAGGAGAAGAGCGTCCGACCGCGTACGAGGGGGGGAGAAGACCGGAGTCCACAGAAGAAACAGGGGAAGACATTTTCCTCCTCCGCTGTGACAAGCCGCTTCTTAGCGCTGAGGTAGGCCTTGAAATCATGCGACGGACAGCGAGTACAAAAGTGACAGCCGCCAATGGAACAGGCAACAGTCGCACAGTCTGGGCACCAGGGTGTGGGTCCTGGCAGACTTCTGCACCTTGCAGATGCAACAAAACTGCCGGGTCATGCACACCAAAAGCTGTAACACACAAATGTGAAACGTAAAACCTAGAAACAACCCCTGCAGACGAAAATGGAAGCACCCTCCCACAAGAATGGGCATCAAGTAAGTGGGACAGTCGTGGTAAACAACCAAGATGGCTGCCCCCACACTGAGCCAAAAAAGCTGAAAAACACACAAATTAGGCAAGAAAAAAGAAGGTACACAAAAACAAGCATGAAACAGAAGGTGGAAGAACCCTAGAGGTATCAAAACACCCAAACATGCCACGTGGAAAAACTCGAACGGGGACACACCCCAAGCCAAGTGAAAACATAAACACGAGGTAGCCAGGTAAGTGAAGTTATTTGTAAATTATGTTCTTCACCCACAGAGAAGAGACATAAGATAGAAAACATACATACCAATAACTTTAATATCTGGAAATCTATTAGTAAGTGTCTGAAACTTAGCGAACCAAAAACGCTCTGACCAGCAAGACGCTTGAAGTAAAAGTGATTTTGACGTTCTACAGAATGGCGAATCAACGACTGTCTGATCTCTTTAAGCGGAGCTTGAGGTAATATGCATAAGACCTATGGTAAGGTAAGTTAAAAATATGACTGTCAGTAGTGCTTGCATTCCCTAGGTCATGGAATAATGACTGTCAATAGTGCTTGCATTCACTAGGTCATGGAATAATGACTGTCAATAGTGCTTGCATTCCCTAGGTCATGGAATAATGACTGTCAATAGTGCTTGCATTCCCTAGGTCATGGAATAATTCACTAGGTCATGGAATAATGACTGTCAATAGTGCTTGTATTCCCTAGGTCATGGAATAATGACTGTCAGTAGTGCTTGCATTCCCTAGGTCATGGAATAATGACTGTCAATAGTGATTGTATTCCCTAGATCATGGAATAATGACTGTCAATAGTGCTCCTATTCCCTAGGTCATGGAATAATGACTGTCAATAGTGCTTGCATTCCCTAGGTCATGGAATAATGACTGTCAATAGTGCTCATTCTACCTGAATCATGCAAAACTGAATATCTGTATTACCTAGCTCGGCCGTGGTGCCAATGACAGATGACCTTTCACCTTTGCCTTTACTTGTCGCTGCGTAAACCTGAAGAAAGACATTACACTTATCATACAATCCGAGAGAATGATCAGATATGACAACTTGATGGGCTGCTATAAACAATATTGCAGTTATAGTACCATCCAGGGATTTATCAAGGCCTTTCAGATGACAATATATGGTGCCAGGTCTGCACCAACTCTTATCACAAATTCCAATTCAGCCACGTAAATAATTATTTTAATGTAGTTAAAGTTCAAAGGGAAGCAGGTCTTTGATGTTTACAACTTTGTCAATACAGTGACAATCAATCGTGCTGACACTTAAAGGAGTGAGTGAGTGAGTGGGTATGGTTTTACGCCGCTTTCAGCATTATTCCAGCAATATCACGGGAAGGGGACACCGGAAATGGGCTTCACACATTGTACCCATTTGGGCAATCAAGGCTGTAACCACTAGGCTACCCTACTGCCCGACACTTAAAGGAACATTACCAGGAAGAACCTTGGATTCAAACCAGCAATCATTTGATCCTGGCATATGTAAGGGACACAACTCTGTAACACAGCTGTGACATGCACACCAGTGCTCTTTCTTTGCCCCCAAGTTAGCCCTTAGATAGATAACTCACACGACTAGATCAGTAAGATCACAGGTGGTCCAGTTGTTAAATGCAACATAAATTGCTGTACAGAGTTGTGTCTGAAACTTATGATCCTGGATCACTCCAGTGATGTTCCTCGTGGGTTTGACCAAAATGTCTGAGACCTGCCTCACTTCACATCACCACATTAAGTTCCCAAGCGAGTGTATAAGCTGAATAATGTTCAAAGCAGCATCAATCTAACTCATTCACTCTTGTCAAACTGTGTACAATTCATAGTCTTCTTTATCAACAAATTGATCTGTGTCTGGCTCACCTGGACTTCATACGATGTGTTTGCTGTGAGGCTTGTCAGGATGATAGAGACGTCTGCTGTGTGGTCAACTATATTCCTACCTGAAAGCAAACATATTCAAGAATGGGAGTTGATTTTTATATTGAAATCCTCCCCACCAAACATATATTGGTTCTGAAACCTGATTTCGGCTGACAACAGACTCACAAAGTTTCCCAAATGTTTTCTCATATGAATAGGTTCAACAGTATATTATTCCACTGAAAGCAGAAAACAATATTTTCCTGTAGTACTGTATGCTGGGATGGGTACGTGAAAAAACCCAGACCAGACTCTCAAGTCGTTACAAGCTGGTTATTCACATGCATCGACTGACTCACCATAAAACACATTGTATCCCTTTAAGACCCCATTAGGGTGTTCTGGGGGATCCCAGCCCACCTTCAGCTGTGTAATGGTGGACCCAAGGATCTTCAGGTCTACCGGAGCAGACGGCTCTACAAACAGAAACAAACAACGCGAAAATTGATACAAACCTGTAGATTATATGAATTCTTTGAAGAAAGTCCTCCTTGGGGTACATATAAGCATTAAAATGTCCATTTTAAATCCTACGACAGTAACGAGAACAATGAGCCTCTTCAAAAACATTACAGATGGTGAAAAGTCTTGATTTCATCAACACACAAAGATAAAATGCATGTGTGTCTCTTTTGGCGAGAAATATGCACTTCTTCATTATTGTAGATAATGACACAAACATGTAATTCAAAATAGTCAAAATGTTTTTGCATCCTTTGCCATTCAAAGGGAGACAACTCACCTGCCTCCTCAGTAGTAACCTGAACTGTGTCAGTGTACTGGCTCTCATCCCCCTCAGTGCAGGCTCGCATTCGCAGACTGTACTGGGTGTACGGGGACAGGTCGTTCACCTCGCAGCTGCACTCACGCCCGTTATACACGCAACGCCCACCTGGGATCAAACAGAATGCATGTTATGGTTGTTTTGTACGCCACACTAAATATTATTCCTTCCACATGACAATGGCCTGATAATAATTGAGTCTGCACAATCAAATGATTGGTACGAGCAATGACCCAAACCATCAGGGCAGGATGACACGCCACTGTCCCCATCACTAAGCTAATCCATATAATCTTACCTCACACATAAATGTCGTTTTCTGATTGGCTGAACGCTTTTGTATTATTTTCAATGTACCCCACTTACAAGCGAGTAACATTTTCTATGTTACCCACTGGGAATGCCGAACTGTGGGAATTCATTTGGTACTTCTTGTTAGTAATTCTTTATCGTGAATAATGAGTCATGGACGACGCATGGAAATTACCGATGTTTTGCGAATGCAAATCGATGGAATGGAGATAACTGTCCCCCTCGTGACCAGTGAACACTTCTAATGCCTGGCATGTGTCACCCCTATGGTGTCAGAACAAAGCCAATCTACCCACAACATACAGGCAAACAGAACTTGGCAGATCAATCAACACTAAACCTTATCATACATCATTCCCGCTATAATACACCTATATAGCCCTAGACAGTATTATATCCCACAATAGAATTTTACAAATAATCCAGATTCAAAGAAAATTTTCAAATAACTTGATGCCGATGACAGACATTTGAATGGACTGTGATTGACACTGATTTGACCAGTATTTCACAACAAGTCCGAGGAAAGCGTGAAGCCGTACAGGTCTAACATATTTACACTCTTAAACATCTGTACAGTGCTGAGAAAGGCATTTATGGGATTCGAACCCACAAGCACAGGATCCAGGATTTCCCAAGGGACATAACTCAAACTGCATCTCAACTGGGCCACCCATATCCCCCCCTGAAGATATGTAACTTTGCAAAGGCTCATTAGGTAACATCGTTGACATACTGTTATCCAATTTGTTCACCATAGATATCATGTTTTTGTGTAGTGTTTAGCACCCACCTTCAAACAGCTGGTAGCGGACATCAAAGCCGCTCTTGGTTGTGATCTTGTCCCAGCTGGCACGTAGTGAGTAGGGACCCGTAACTGTAACACAGCATTGTAACTTGACACACACAGAACTTAAAAGTATCCTGAAGATAGTCAGGCCAATTTTTTGTCTTACAGAATGGACAAATTTACCTTTACTTGAAAAATTGGAAACAAAATTGTATGAATGATGATGTTGGACTGATTTCAATAATACGTAGGTGCATCTCACAGCCCACTGTTGTATACAAGGCCTCATACCTTGTACGTGAGGCGGTGCCGGCTTCTCCAGACGTTTCAGGATCTCCAGCGTGATGATGACCTCCTCTCTCAGATCAGGATTCATGTCCTCCCTCACCTCCATTGCCTGGAACACAAGTATCCTGTTACCATGGTAACTCCACAGGAAAGGGTATCAAAGGGGCATAAAACCAAACTCACTCTCCCTACATGTGCAAATGAATGATTGAGAATGTGTTAGTTGGGTGTCCGAGGGTTTGGATGGGTGTTTGGATGGGTGTCTGAGGGTTTGGATGGGTGTCCGAGGGTTTGGATGGGTGTTTGGATGGGTGTCCGAGGGTTTGGATGTTTGGATGGGTGTTCGAGGGTTTGGATGGGTGTTTGGGTGTTTGGATGGGTGACCGAGGGTTTGGATGGGTGTTCGAGGGTTTGGATGGGTGTTTGGGTGGGTGTCCGAGGGTTTGGATGGGTGTTCGAGGGTTTGGATGGGTGTTTGGGTGTTCGTGGGTTTGGATGGGTGTTTGGGTGTTTGAGGGTTTGGACGGGTGTTTGGGTGTTCGAGGGTTTGGATGGGTGTTTGGGTGTTTGGTCGAGTGAATGAGTGGAAAATGGAACTCATTCACTCAATCTTAAGATTGAATTTCAGAGTCTAAAAGATGACCGACCCTTCAGCTTCAGTCAGCCTCAAGAGGCACATCGTGAATGTTACCCTGATTCCATCCTCTATACTTCCAGAACTCATATTTCAGCAAACCTACATTAACCATGGATGCATTCCAAGGTCCTTGCAATCACAAATTACCTGCCCTTGATTTTCCTTGACGTTTTACCCATCAACCAAACGTCAACATAAGGGACTAGGTAAGGGGGGTAACTTGTTTTACCAAGAAACCAAAGGCACTGCTGTTATTAATGGACATCAAGACATCCTTTAATTCCTTCACAATATTTTATAGGGCTTTTTTTTTAGTGTCAGTGAAATCGTCAGTGAAGACTGGTGGCTATGTTGTTATCGCAAACTGGACATTCGAATTGGTATGTTAGGCCTATTAGCATAGCTAATAAAATTGGCAAATAGAAATCAACGGTAATCTGAGATTGTGTGAAGCCCAAGATTGGATCCAGGGGTAGGTGTTTGTTTACCGAAACCTGAGCCCTGGAGATACAGAGGATGGGTACATCCCAGCTTATGAGCTACTGTGATACAAATGACAAACACAGAGAGACATAGATTGGACATCGGTCTTACCTTCAGGGCCAGGTGAACTGTGTGGTTTTCTCGTAGTTTTAAGCACCCTTTTGGTTGACTGGCTAGGGTTCTTAGAGTCCTGGAAATACATGTAACCATGGTTACTAACAACATGGTATACAGATATCTAAGTTAATTCCATGCAGATTTCAAAGAGAGGTACTTGTACTCAAAATGTTTGAAAGTTCAGATAGAACTCATTCAGCTTCCCCACAACAGAGGTACAAATAAGCTGCGTATCTGCGTAAATTACGCAAATATTTATATGAAAACTCAATTCCTATTAAGTCTTTTGCGTACAAGTACGCTTGAAGTTTTGAAAGTACTCAATAAGTTTGATCTTACATGCGTACACACATAAATGTCACATTTTAGCTTGCGTACCGGTGGTTAGATAAAATAACTGAGGTATATTGAGATGTTTTATTTCAACACGTGAACTTGGCTACTTGCAGTCTTTCTTATCGTTTCTCATATTACAGATCAAATATGAATAGCAAACACGTAAACCAACATTTAAACTTTATTATTTTTATACAAATTTATGGAAAATGGCAAAATACCCAATTGAGTTGGATTGAGGTGGGTACAATAGATTTGGTTACTCAAAGGAAAATTAGGATACCCAGTTGAGATGAACACAAGCGAGTACATAATTCAATGACCTACAAAGTTATCTGTAGCTCTGGGGTTTATCATTTATCATATGTGGGGACCAGGTCTGAGGACATAGTAGAGGGTTTATCATATGTGGGGACCAGGTCGGAGGACATAGTAGAGGGTTTATCATTTATCATATGTGGGGACCAGGTCTGAGGACATAGTAGAGGGTTTATCATTTATCATATGTGGGGACCAGGTCTGAGGACATAGTAGAGGGTTTATCATTTATCATATGTGGGGACCAGGTCTGAGGACATAGTAGAGGGTTTATCATTTATCATATGTGGGGACCAGGTCTGAGGACATAGTAGAGGGTTTATCATATGTGGGGACCAGGTCGGAGGACATAGTAGAGGGTTTATCATTTATCATATGTGGGGACCAGGTCAGAGGACATAGTAGAGGGTTTATCATTTATCATATGTGGGGACCAGGTCTGAGGACATAGTAGAGGGTTTATCATTTATCATATGTGGGGACCAGGTCTGAGGACATAGTAGAGGGTTTATCATTTATCATATGTGGGGACCAGGTCTGAGGACATAGTAGAGGGTTTATCATTTATCATATGTGGGGACCAGGTGGGAGGACATAGTAGAGGGTTTATCATTTATCATATGGGGACCAGGTCAGAGGACATAGTAGAGGGTTTATCATTTATCATATGTGGGTTTATCATTTTATCATATGTGGGGACAGTCAGAGTAGAGGGTTTATCATTTATCATATGTGGGGACCAGGTCTGAGGACATAGTAGAGGGTTTATCATTTATCATATGTGGGGACCAGGTCAGGAGGACATAGTAGAGGGTTTATCATTTATCATATGTGGGGACCAGGTCTGAGGACATAGTAGAGGGTTTATCATTTATCATATGTGGGGACCAGGTCATAGTAGAGGGACATAGTGGGGAGAGGACATAGTAGAGGGTTTATCATTTATCATATGTGGGGACCAGGTCAGAGGACATAGTAGAGGGTTTATCATTTATCATATGTGGGGACCAGGTCTGAGGACATAGTAGAGGGTTTATCATATGTATGTGGGGACCAGGTCTGAGGACATAGTAGAGGGTTTATCATTTATCATATGTGGGGACCGGGTCTGAGGACATAGTAGAGGGTTTATCATTTATCATATGTGGGGACCAGGTCTGAGGACATTGTAGAGGGTTTATCTCAGTGAAGTGAGACACAGACAATGTCTAACATTTGGAATCCATTGTACATATGTTTTGTTTAGATTGTTGTTTAATGCCACACTCAGCAATATTCCAGCTATATGACAGCAGTCTGTAAATATCTGGACCAGACAATCCAGTGACCAACATCATGAGCATCGATCTACACAATTGGGACATGATGACGTGTGTCAACCAAGTCAGCGAGTCTGACCACCTGATCCCGTTAGTCGCTCTTACGACAAGTATGAGTTGCTGAGGACCAATTCTAACCCGGATTTTCACGGGTTTATACAGATGTAAGTCTTGTTCACCTTGCATCCAGTCAAACTGTTAGTGTTCAAGTTTAACAATGACATAAACAACAAAATAGGAACAAAGTAAAATTAATGTCCCGCCAACGTCCTGCTACCTACATTGCAGCGAACCAGCCCGTCTCACTGTCCTCAGCACTCAGCAGCTCCGACAACGTCCGCAGCACCTCATCCACGTAGGCATTGTTCAAGAGACGAGAATGACCCTCAGAGTTAGTTGCTAGGCAACTCAAGGCAAAACATGCATTTTTACTGGCTCCTGTGTCCTCGCAGCTCAACATTTTTGCTAAAGATGAAATCTGTAATCATGATGACAAAATGTACTTTGATTTATTGCTAAAGTCCAAAAAGTAACTGCAAGATAAAAACTCATTTTTCATATTTTATGACTTTAAATAAATATGATGTTTTGAACTGCAATTTGTAGACTTATATACAACTGTAGATTTACAGAAATGTTGCTTTCATCAAGATGTAAAATTTGGTAACTAGTTCACTCATGTCCCTAAAACTTTACATAATCTTTACATGAACTTTAAACTTTGAACCCATTAAGATCCTCGGTCAAGGTCAATGAAAACAACAACGGTGTGTAAAAAACATTATATTCATAGTTTTATCTGTACATTTTGACAGCATATCTTAAAAACAACTCCAAAAAAACAACCTCAAAACAATTGACCTTCATCAAACATAGAAACAAGCTTATTTAAGTAAATATTTTCAGTTTGCAAAACAACAAGAGCAGTTCTTACCATTTTCTCTGACTCGTGTAACGAGAGCAGTCGTTTCCTTCCAACATCCATGTCACACAGTCGACCAATAGCAAACGCAGCATTCATCCCCCTCCCTGACAACATACACAATCATTTATACATTTACCAATTCTACTTTGGGTAACTTCAGCCATTACTGTAAATAACCAGAACTAACATAGCGTCAATAAAAATTTCTGTCAAATAAATCTAGAATGGATATTACCCAGAATTGGTATTCCCTAAACTTTGTTTAAAGTTTTGTCTCTTTATTACATAATAAAACAATTACAGACTTTATACAAGGTCATAACATGTTTCTATGGGCAAGAAAAAACAGCACTGAAAATGGACAGCCTTGGGCATCAGGCTTATGACCATTGCTGCAATAAATCGGCAACCTTTTGGACCCTGAAAGTGGGACCCGCGGTGGCGTGGAAGCTCGGGGGCTCAAACCGATGTGGAGTCGCCTCAGGTGCTTTTCTTGGTGGTAGTAGCAAATATTATAAAAAATGACATATTTATCAATCTTGACAAGCACAATGTTAACATTGCCTTTTTGGACCTCAAAGTCTGAATCTGTATTATTGTCAACGGTTCTCTCCTCAGTTAAAATTGAAAAGCTGTCTCTGAGGATTTGTTTCAAATTGAAGATGTCTGGGGCACTAAAGAATCTAAACTGGCACCATCCTCACAATCAACACACAAGCACCAAGAATACTCCAGTTATACACAAGAAAACTACAACCATAACTGGACATTCTTAGTCTTTGTGCAACCATGTCATTCCATACCATTAAGTTATATAAGTCCCTAGCTAGCTAGCTTCTCTTCTATCTACAAGTAGATAAGGCTAGGTCACTCTTGTATGTTTCACTAATTAGGTTGCTTAAAAAATATACCGGTATATAATCTACAAAATCCTCAGAAGAAAACACTGGTGTGTCCCTACACAAACATTTCAATATTAACAGAACAGAGTGTTAGATTGTAAAGGTCAATTAAACATTGTCAATAAAAACATGATTACAGTATTTCTACATATTTACTTTATGACAGTTTATCACATTAAATTCCACAGACCTTATTCAGGGGAACAACATGGTTCTGACCTGGGTTTCACCCTGCATCTCTGCTGTGTGGATCATACATCAACTACCCCATAGCACAGATGCAAGCAGATCAACCCAAGATCCATCTGTAAGGTTCTATAGGACAAAGCACTGCGAAAACACAGATAGTGTCTTGATACATCACATACCGTATTTCCTCTATGAGACGCCCAGGTTTCTAGGCATTTAGTGCAGCTAACCTTGTGTCTACCTGAAGCTGCCATCATTCAGAGGTCTGGTTACTATTCAGTGTAATACTGGCAATATGACAACTCACAACTGAATCTCACATTCTGTGTGCGTTGGAAACCCTGCATTTAATAGAGGGAATACGGTATTGATAAAACTAATATAAATGGGGCATCTTATAAGGCAACAAAGAGAGTCTCAAGCTGATGACAACTTTGACTTAATTCCAATTTTAAGGAATCATATCAATGTATCACTACAGTCAATATTTGTATCATGACTCAACAAGGGGTATCATTGCCATGGTTACTGACTTAAGAAAATACAGCAATCCTCTCATTAAAATAGTACAACATACAGTCAGTGGGTTCAGAAGTTTCCATCACATGACATCATGACAACTGCCATCACATGATATCATGACATTAGCTGTCATATGACATCCTACCAACTGCCATCACATGATATCATGACATTAGCTGTCACATGACATCCTACCCAACTGCCATCACATGACATAATGACATCAGCTGTCACATCACATGACATCAGCCAGCACATGACATCAGGACAATAGCCACCACATGACATAAAACTGACATCACATAATGTCCTGACAACTGCCATGACATGACATCATGACAACAGCCATTACAGGACAATGGCTATGACATATAGTGACAATGGCTGTCACACGACATCATGACAACATCTTTCACATGATATCTTGGTAACTGATGTCATCAAGACATGAATGCAAGTGAGCTAGCACCTTGCTCAACTGTAATCACTCTTTAAGCTAAATTTATATCACTTCTAAATGCCATTCCAATAACCAATAGATGCACTGAAGAGTCTGGTATCATATCTTGTCAGTGGTCGTTAACGTTTTAACTTTTATTGTTCGCAGCTTCAAACAAATGGAGAAAATCTTTCTGGTCAACAGTGAGTGCTGTATGTCTCCACAAAACACTATCTGTCATACTTTCTCTCACTTTTAACAGAATAGAATTACATATTATCATCACACACTGGTATTTATCAAAATCAAAGTTCTAAACTGGTGAAAGTATAAATGTTTACAACAGACAAAATTGTTAGATCGACTTCAGTGGTGTTGAGGTGAGCAAGAAACCAACAAAGCCACACACATAATCTGCTGTGATGCCACTGTCAACATGTACTTTGTCAGTTCCTCCGTCTACAGTAAAACAATGAAACCACTGACTGTAAAAAATAACTCGCATTTAACATGGCATAATATATTCACATCAAATTCTATATATTAAGCTGATAAACTGGCTGTACCAAACAAAGCGCTTGACTCACGTGATCGGAGCATGAGGTCAACTGGGCATGCAAACAAGACATTGTCTACCAGCGCCCAGTTCTGTCCTGGAGCTACACAACACACATATGTATAACATACAGAATAGGTGCTTAGCTATAAGGGTAGTGAAGGTACAATAACAATACCTACTTCATGTGTTACCTACCCAAAATGAGCAGGAAACAGACTTTGGAACAAAATGTCTGTAGGATGGGTCAGGTTTAAGACGTCACTGTGGTTTATTTACCATTCAAGGTATCTGTTTACATTTGCTGCCGCCATTGTTGCATACTTTCAGAAAAACAAATTAGGTGTAAAAACAAAATACAAAAGACTTATCAACCATGTGAACATGTTTGAAAATGTAAGATATGTTATATTTGGGATTACTCTTTCTTAGTAAAGTACAGATTCTAGTACTTTGTTGGGTTGAGTACCATGTGGGATTCAAACCCACACCCTCAAGTAAACACTTTTGGGATTACACTTTTACAAAATATTGTGAATGTGTAATGTTTCACATTAGGATTACACTTTTACAAAATATTGTGAATGTGTAATGTTTCACATTGGGATTACATTTTTACAAAATATTGTGAATGTGTAATGCTTCACATTGGGATTACACTTTTACAAAATATTGTGAATGTGTAATGTTTCACATTGGGATTACATTTTTACAAAATATTGTGAATGTGTAATGCTTCACATTGGGATTACATTTTTACAAAATATTGTGAAAGTGTAATGTTTCACATTTTCAGTGTACCAAATACTGTACTTTATTCCTGATCCAAATTTTACTTAATGACTATCACTAGTTATGTCACACAAACCAGACTGAAGACAAAACTACGACAGCGACTGGGCCAGGGGTTTTATAACTACAGATCAGAGATAAAATACCCTAGACAGTCGGGGATGGGCAATATTTTAGAAATGTCAGCCCAATATGCAAGGTGTAAGCAATATTTCAGCTTACACGACAGCCCGTACATACACCTCAACCATGTATACATATGAACAACAAAAGTGAATTCTTTGGATTTGTAATGTAAATAACATGGCTACAAAATGCAAAATATTTCTGACTTTAAGTGCACCCCATAAACATGTTCCATGTCAAATGCATCACCTGTTTCAAGACAGATTATCCACATGTAAGTAATTGGACATAATAATAATTTGTTCCTCAAATTTTACAGTAAATAGTGAGGAAATAATTTCCTATTTATTTATTTCGTAACTGTTTCATGTTAATGTGACACTTCTTTCACCTGGTGTATAAATCTTTTACTGACACAAGGAATGATAACTACAATGGCCAATCGGACTAATGCAAGTGTATTTTGATCCAGGCCACCTTGTTATTATTACTGGTTCACACATGCAATGAACAGATTATACTATCTTGAAACTACCTTTCTATGTGTAATTCATTCAATTCAGACTCAAACACTCCACAATTGGTCAATAATTGCTGCAGGTGACAACTAGACACATATATTCGTACTTTTGCTTTTGACAATATTAACATGATATGCACTTGGAACAATGCAGGTAAGTGTTTATAATGTATGCCACAACTATAATGCTTTACGCAGTAGTTCGAGTGACTCAGATTCCTGTTAGACGTCGGCCCACAAGAGGCTACCAAATGGTGGTCAGTTTCAGTGATGTTGATGATAGCTTGTCACTAAACTCCTGCAACATGGCAAGTTACACATATTCAGTGTGCAAAATCGTTTGCTAGCCAGTTGGGCTAGGTATGCCTGAAAGTTACTAGCCCACAAAATAATTCACTAGCCCGAAATATGAATCTGGAAACTAAGCAAAAGGTTACAAAAAGGAAAAATACCATCAAAAACAAATGACCTCATGAAAATTCACAAACCAGTCAGGCCAAAGACTGTGGAGATTTACTGGCCCGACTGGATTTCTACTAGCCATGGGCTAGCAGGCAAGTGGTTATTCCGCATACTCCTCATATTATCAATCACTAGACTGTCTATTCATGCTTGGCTAATAGTCTCTATATTTGTCAAATATTTCTGAGAGATGCCCTTTGCAAAATGAGGCAATTAAGAGTATATAGGGCACTCTCCCATTGCATTTGAAATCAGTTATTTTCCAATCAAATTATTTTCTCTATGTTTCATTATATGGTTTTGATGAAAATATCAGCCTTTCCAATCAAATGTATTTGGTTTTATTTTTACCCAAAATCTTAAAAGTTTGTGAACATTCTCAACATAAGCTACAAAGGTTTACTGTTTCATCTTTAACTGGGCTTTACATGGGACAATGATATGGTGGAGTCAGTTATTGCAAGCAATATTTGCCTTACATTTATTCACTTTGTAATATATTTCACTTAATTGTGTTGGGGTACTTCAGTTCAAAACATCGTAATAATTCCATAAAAGCTCTACATGTAAAGATCTCTGAATACTGACATGATTGTTTAATGTCTCTTCACAAGTCAAGCTCTGTAGCACATAAAGGGTTAAAAGCTTTTAGCTTTCATCAACCCCTTTACACCCTGATGAAAAGACATTTCTTCACAAGAAGGTAATGAAGTAATGTTTTCATAAAAATCCAGACAATTTAAAAATATATTAATCCTTAGTTACTGTTTGTTTGAGCAAAACAAAGACAAAGATTTAATAAAGTCTAGATGGACTGCTTCTCACACATAAGTTACAAATAAACACACTGCCTGATTGTGGACCCAGATTTGACTGATGCTGTGTGACATAGAGTAGGACTAATTGAAACTAAGACAGTAGGCCCAGACTGGCCTTGTCTGCCTACACAACACACAATCTCCTCACAGCCCTGATAGTTAATCTTCAGACATTACTCAGTGGGGCTCACATTACAAGGGGCCATCTCAAAGATTAAAATACACAAATTGAAATACTCCTGCAAAGACCATGTTTCGTCTTGTGAGAAATGTTAATAAGTTCAACAACAACTTTTCTCAATACCTCAATAATATTGACATAAATAAAACATGAGGCTGGAGGGCTTAGAGCTGTCTTATCACAGGGAGCTGAAAGACAATTATGGCCTTTATGAATCATCTAGACTGAAATATTCTCCATATCTATTCCTCAAAATTACACAAAATCTGTGACAGTTTTATATTATGGTTTTCTCAAGTTATGCTTAGATGCCTTAGGGGAGGTGGGGTAGCCTAATGGTTAAAGCGTTGGCTCGTCACGCCGAAGACCCGGGTTCGAATCCCCACATGGGCACAATGTGTGAAACCCATTTCTGGTGTCCCCCGCCATGATGTTGCTGGAATATTGCTAAAAGCGGCGTAAAACCAAACTCAGTAAGTCAGTAGATGCCTTAAGGTAAAATATTGATTTACAGGAATATGAACAGATTTTGCACACCTAAGCTATTCACTGGGTTGTCAATGCATTCGGAAAATGATGATATGATAGCAACCTGCTTACTCATCATTTTCTGAATAATCTTCCCATATCTCCACCAGATAATGTTGCAGTGTATAACATGGACAAATTTGTTCCATTTTCAGAACACAGGTTAGTTGGTTTCTTTCACTGGCCTTAATGCTATGAAATGAAAGGAGATCATGATATATTGTTCATGTCTGTCTTACAACAATGTTTGATGTGGTCGCACAAATGATATATTGATACACAGATAATGACACACATTCCTTAATGTTTCTCACATTATTCATAGAATTTGCCACACATCGGAAAACTAATATATCCATGACAGCCTGTGTAAGTGTCTAACATTTGGCAAGTCTATTCTAGGGGAGCAGGACAAGAGCCACCTTGACAAAAGCCACCTTGACAATTTACCCAGTCCTAGACCCCTATTCCAGGTGCCTGCAGTTCCAGGGTCTACACAAAGTGCTTGATTCATAAGGGAAATTGAGGTGGGTCTCCTGGCAACTTTTTATTACACTTTATTTAGATAACTAAAGTACTGTTTTTCTGTAATGAATGTTCATTTCAGAGACAAGATAGGCTGTGCAAGGGGAAGTTACTCCAGCGGAAGATGAGCTTGTCCATGCTGTGTCCCCATTCCACAAAGCGATCGTAGCACTAAGATGATCATAACTCCCATACTATAACATAGACTTATGGCTGTCTAGCGCTACAATCGCTTTGAGGAATGGGGGCCCAGGTCAGATTGACAAGACGACCCTCTTAAAACAAATAACAACTAACAAAATTGGCCTATTTCGTACCATGTTCCAACTGTGGGTGAGGTGGTGGGGTAGCCTTGTGGTTAAAAGCGTTCGCGCCTGATTGATTCCCCACATGGGCACAATGTGTGAACCCCTAATCTGGTGTCTCCCCCCCCCCCCCCCCCCCCCCTGTGGTATCGTTGGAATATTACTAAAAGTGGCGTAAAAGTATACTCACTCACTCCAACTGTGGGTGTTTATGTACAATAAAATTCTTGTCCTTTACATCAAACACTGCAACATCCCAACTCTTTCATGTCTACCATCCCAAACTTGTCTCTTGATAAAGTTAGACTTAAGCATTAACATATAGGTGTTTCCTGACAAGGATTAAGTTGCAGATTTCTTAAGTCATGATTAAGTTGGGCTAAATATCGTGGATATACTTTTAACCATAACACAGCCACAGCAAGCAAAAGACCTTCTTCTGACTTGATTTAAGAATCTGACTTTTGAAAAACATTTAATCAGAGTAAAGTTTTTTACAATGCCAGTAAAGATTGCTTTGACAATATATAATCCAAGCAATTTTCTCACCACGAAAACATATAGTTTTTTTATTGATAAATTGGCATTACAAGCCAGATATTTGATTCTTTAGACTCCAAACCCAATCAAATTATTAAACTTTAGCTTACAAAAAATCCCTTATAATCAATCTTATTCATTTTTTCAATTTCAACCTAGGGAACAAACCTTTCACTGTTAGAATCTGTGAACAAAATGTGAAAGAAAAACATGGACTAACAGGCTTTATACATAGCACTCATGATGGAGATCAAACCCTTTCACGGACTGACAAATCACCCATTCAAACATGCAGTATGGTAAATACATGTCCTTTCTGCATGTTCTGACAATCCCTCGTCACTTCATCAAACAAAGTGCTTAAAACATTATCCTTATCGTGACAAATGTTCCTGAATATTGTCAGCAATACTTTTGACATAACCCCTTATCACTGTCGTTGCAATCTCCATTGAATCGATAATCTGTACAGTCAGATAGCATGTTCCCTGCTTGCAGCCATTCCCATTGTATACCGGCTCGTATTAACCCGGGTGTTTAAAGAAGGGAAGGATGTAACCCTGGTCCAGCATACATTGTTATTCCACGAAGGTAGGTGTGTTTTCAACCGAGGACACTTTGCTGTAGATTTTGTAGGGAGCAGACAATGTCAACGAGCATCACAGGCCATGGTTTTCACAGCCGTGTTCAAGGGCTCACTGCTGAACGTTCAAGGGTACACTTGAAGGTTTTACGACCGTGCAAGTATTCTTGTGTCACCATATAGTGACATAAACACGCTGGATGCATCTTTCTAATTACTAAAATGTGTATTTATTGTCCTTGACCTTTTGAATTAATTCAAAATGGAAGTATGCTTCCATTGTGTTGATTTAGGAATATTTATGATGAACTGGTTAAAATATGTTGAAAACTGGCTGCGTACAAAATACATTTTATTGATGAAAATGGATGATTTCTTTTCTCCAATTTCTGATCAGAACAGTAACAAAGAGAAAGCATAATCATTTTTTAAACTACTTGGGTCATTTCATATACATAACAATGAAAGACATCTTTTATGATTACATAATGAATACACAGTCCGGTGGACAATAGAAATGTCAGATTTCACAAACTGAAAAAGATAAAATGTTAGCATTGGATGGTGAAGGAATATGTTTGTTGGTTTAGTTCTTTGTTCTGTTTATTTGTTGTTTAACACCAGAATCAGCAATATTCCCGCTGTACGATGTCAGTCTGTAAACAATCATGTCTATACCAGACAATCCAATAATCGACATCATGAACGCTGCTGAATGCAAATGGGATATAATTACATGGAAACAATCAGGTTAAAAAGCTGGACAGCAATTATGTGCTTTATATCTAAACAATAACACTTATTCTTGGATTAAATATTCTTATCTCTGGTACTCCGTGACCAAAAATTGTGCTTAAATTATTTACCAGTGTTTGGATTGGTGGAATAGTGTTGCCAGACTGTCTGACTCAGGGCATTATAGTGTCGTATTACTCACATACAACCAATGTTCTGATATCAGCACATGTAGGTTAACTGATTGGTCAGTTGAAGAGCAGCATGATGTCACACTGCTTCACTGTTCACTACCATAGGCTATGATAACCAGGTTATCATCACTAGAGCTTCTCTGTTGCATTGTGATGGTACAGATATTTCTTGTTCTTTCTTGAAAATGACAATAAGTAAACAGATGATTCTGATCAAACTAGGAAGGAATATCTCTCCTAAGAAGCTGATAATTATATTTTCTGAGATGTGGGGCTTGGGACTGGTTTTAAAAATAATATGTACTCAAAAGTAAGAAAGGTAAGATACTCTATGGATGACAACTTCTATATTATATTATGCTGCATCCATAGAGTACCATACTTTTCTTATTATTCATCAACTTGTAAAATGCCAATCAAACAGATACTCAAAAATACTAGAAAAGAATATGTGGTCATCATGATTTTATACACAATTCAAAATCTTCTGAAAAGTATGGTGTTGTGGGTCTCAGTAGAATTGTGTGTCTCTTTCACAATTTTTCAGTTTATTTGCTTTTAAACAAGGACCAAAGAAACATAGTCAAAAGATTTTTATCCCTGCACCCACCCACCCATCCCTCCCCACACACACACAGGCATACATTCACACGACTCTGTAGTTACATTTAGCAAAATGCAAAATACCTCTCTGCTTTTGTCCGCTTGTCAGGCCGAATACCTGAGTTCGATTCCCCACATGGGTACAATCAGTGTTTAAAACTCCCAAAGTTCCAAGCCAGACAGCTGGACTGGTAACTTTAAAACATTACCAGTCTGGATACATACTTGCCTGTTCGGTTTTCAACAATAATAAAAAAAATCAGGTTTCTGAATACTTTACTGTTTGTAGGCATCGGAATGAACTACATAGCACTAACAGGCAATGAAAAAAACTGAAAGTACACATGTTGTGATTGGTTAGCGTAATATGAACTGTCCAATCGTAAGTAGTTTAACATACTTATCATAATACCTTAAACACCTCAAACTGACGACAAGAGAACCTGTCTGATATTATGAAATATTTACTGTTAGGAGTAAAAATATCTACCAGACCACTGGACAGGCTACTTTTGAAATTTGACCATTTGAGATGAAAATAGACCGTTCCGGACGGTCGGGCAGGCGGGAATTTTAAATGCTGGTACAATGTGTGAAGCCCATTTCTGGTGTCCCCTGCCGTGATATGCTGGAATATTGCTAAAAGCGGTGTAAAATCAAACTCACTCACTCACTCACTCTCCGCTTCTGCTGAACTGAAGTGTTATAGACTACCCAAACAACAGTACATTATATTCAAATATTACACATTCTCTCAAAAACCATGAGATAATGCCCTTTAGAGTAGAGACTTCACCCTATCCCACAATCACATTCTTTGACTATATACCACACAAAGTCTTCCTGTACAGACAGGCAACTATTTAAAACAGATGGACTCAATGTAGATTGGTATATAATAATAGCTTTGAAGTTCAAAATTTAAAAGAAATGTCCCCAAATTAAATATTCTTCACAAGCCCATATCTGTTAACCAAAATCCTGTATGTTAATTACTGATTACAATTTTTTCTCTTCAGAAGACACAACATCAACAATGGCTACCCGCTCAGCCCAACAGGACAGTCAGCGACTGGACATGTCCAAGATGACCCTAGAGGATGAAGACAAGAACCTTCTGTTCTGGGCGGCTGCTGCTGGCAACACATCCAAGGTTCAAGACTGTCTCTCAAACAGGAAGCACAACATTGATAAACGTGTGCTGAAAGGAAGAACAGCCGTGATGGAGGCATCTGTGCGAGGCAAGCAGACAACATTTGAGCTGTTGGTGACAGCCGGTGCAGACTTAACCTTGGTTGATGATGATGGTGATTCTTGTTTAATTTTGGCTATTGAAGGTAAAAACAGAGCCATAATTCAAAACTTATTGAAACAAGATAAAGTGAATATCAACAGCAGGGGTTCGGAAAACAGAACTCCAGTGATGGTGGCAGCCCTGGTGTGGTGACTTTGAAATTTATGATTATTTGGTGTCTGCTGGAGCAGACGTTTTGGTCTGTGACAGCAACAGCAACACCTGCCTTCATCTAGCAGCCCAGAGTGGCTGTGCCAAAATAGTGGAACATTTACTCCAGAAAAGATTTGAGATCAATCTCCGGGGTCAAGTTGGGCAGACGCCACTGATGATGGCTACCTTTGCAGCAAAGAAGAATGTATTTGACTTGTTGTTTGCCAAGGGAGCAGATGTGTCACTCGTGGATGCCAACAACAATGGCCTGCTCATGATGGCTGTATTTTCTGGAGATACATCAATGTTGAAAACGGTTCTGGAGAGAGGGAAGCTTGAGATAAACAAAGCTGGAGAGAAGAGGATGACTCCTGCCATGATGGCAGCATTGCTTGGCAACAAGGAATCATTTGATCTGTTGTTAGCTGCTGGAGCAGATCTAACACTGAAAAATGAATTCGGTAATGATTTCTTATTTTGGGGAGCCAGTGGAGGCAATTTGAAAATTGTCAAATATTTGTTATCGCTGAAAAAGTTTGACGTAAACCGACAACAAGAACATGGATTATCTCCCTTACACATAGCAATCACTAAAGGACACAAAGAAGTGTTTCACATCTTGGTGTCGGAAAATGGGGATGTTAACAGTCGTAACGACCAGCTTTACAACAGTCTGATGATAGCTTCTGATACTGGACACATTAATATTGTAAGAAAGCTGATATCAATGAACAAGATCAATCTGAATGAACGTGAAGAGAATGGATGGACGGCTGTAATGATAGCAGCTAAATGTGGCCACAATGAAGTCTTCGATGTCCTTGTGTCATCAGGAGCCAACGCCTCACTCATGGACAAGGATGGAAATGACTGCCTGATGTTGGCATGTATCTATGGCCAAGCCGTGATGGTGAAGCATCTGTTGTCCATGACGATGTACAACATCAACCGGAGAGGAATCTACGGTTGGACTCCTGTCATGGCGGCTATCAACGAGGGTCACCCCGAAGTGTTCGACGTGCTGGTGGAGGCTGGGGCGGACATGACCCTCCTGGATGAGAGAGGGAGCAACTGCCTCATCCTGGCCTGCATGGGAGGGAACGTTACCATAGTACAACAACTACTGTCGATGAAGGTATTTGACTTGGAGTACAAAGGTCTTGATGACAGCGCAGTGACAGCAGCGGCGAGGGAGGGGCAGACGGACGTTGTTCAGCTGCTCATTGACGAAGGTGTCAGGATAGACTTGTGATCAGCGAATAGAGACATGTATGTTAAAGTCCAGCTGGTTGATACAGAAGTCGAGAACAAAAGACTGAAGTGTGTTTCTCATGTCAACCAGTGGTCTAACTGTAAGATGCCGCATCTTGCTGAGCAGAGTTGCTTCCCTTAGTTGCTAGGATTCACTGTCATGCATTCAGATCCCGATTTACCACATAAATGGTCTTCCATCAGACCTGCCAGTCAGTTTCAGCCTAACCAAAACCTGTTCCAGAGCTCAACAGTTAGGAGTAGACTCCTGCCCAGGCATAGAGGAGGCGAGTCTGTATGGCACTAAAATAACTATTGCAGCAGCCACAGATAAAAAGCCATATGCTGTGACTGATTTAATCAGCAACAAGAGTACAAGTGCAAAAGACACAGTAGCATCCGGCAAACAGTGTTACGTCCTAGACTGTGGCTGATCACCTCAGTGTCTGTTATGTGATAACATTTTTGAACTGTAGCAGTTTGGGCATTTCTTCCACAACATTCATCTTGACAGTTCCATTGCTTACGGGAGACTCGAACCAGATCTCACTCATTCATCCTTGTAAACCACAACTGATGTAATGGACCTTGACAACGGATCCTTAAGAAATAAGAACAGAATCGAAACAGTAATCCATTTAATAGACATTTTCCTCAACTCTCCAGAGACAGAAGTAATAATGGAAGGACGTTACAATGTTCTCGGCTTCAAAGGCTCATGGCAAAATTGCCACTTTCTATGGAAGAGGAACAGTGGGGTAGACTAGTGGTTAAAACTTTCACCCGTCACGCAAAAGACATGGGTTCGATTCCCCACATGGGTACAATGTGTGAAGCCCACCATAATATTGCTGGAATATTGCTAAAACTAAACTCACTCACTCTATGGAAGAGTGGGAAGATCTCGTACCATCCTTCGCCAATGAGCAGTGTATCATGCTAAATACTCATGAAAATAACTATCTGTTTCATGTAGAATCCATGTTTAGATTTATTTATACTCATGTTAGCCTGTTATGTTGCAGTGAAGTGTTTACATATTGTACAAGTGTATTGTGGAAGTGCTAGTCAACCTTGAAACAGATTATCATTCCACAAAGGGAGATAACTCTTGAATACAGTCTCCAGAGACCATAAACTAGATCACATCAGCTGCTCCCAACAACTCCAACAGAACCTTTACAAATATAAGATCAGTTTATAATACCAATATACATCATTTCAAGGGGCGGTAGGGTAGCCTAGTTGTTAAAGCGTTCGCTCATCACGCCAAAGATCCGGGTTCGATTCCCCACATGGGTACATTGTGTGAAGCCCATTTCTGATGTCCCCTGCCGTGATAATGCTGGAATATAGCTAAAAGCGGCGTAACACTAAACTCACTCACTCACCCAATTAACAGAAATATCCAAATACCAGAACTAGATTTGAAGTTGCTACAGACAGCTGTACTGTTACCATGTACTGTTAACAAGAAATGAGATGTACGTGAAGCTTTGCTTTATTTAAATGTTTTTGATCTCAAAATTATACCAAGGCCATTTCAGCATTAGTCACATATCCTGAATCTGTAACCATGGTACCGGTAAATACATTGTTTTAACACACATGTGAACCTGTTTCATTAAGCATTATTCATATCAACTGAGTGTGTATTGATATTCTAATGGTGTTTTTACATATCTTTCAAAAACATATAGATTTGTTGGATGAGATAGATAGAAAATGTGATATATATCACATTTGAAAAACAATCATGCTTAAATCAAAATCATTTGATGACAGACCCTGACAACTTGTGAAGGTCTTGACTGTGACTGAAATATATCACAGTTCACTTGATTAACAAATATCCCAAACAAAATCAAATTCACTCACCTGCTTCATCAACTCCAAGGGAGAGAACCAGCTTGGACAGGATGTGGTGGTAGTTTGGGTTGTTGAGTATTTTGCTGCAGCCATCTTCAGATATACACAATCTGTAGGATCACAAAGACAAACACTGAATGTAGGATCACAAAAACAAACACTGAATGTAGGATCACAAGAACAAACACTGAATGTAGGATCACAAAAACAAACACTGACTGTAGGATCACAAAAACAAACACTGAATGTAGGATCACAAGAACAAACACTGAATGTAGGATCACAAAAACAAACACTGAATGTAGGATCACAAGAACAAACACTGAATGTAGGATCACAAAACAAACACTGAATGTAGGATCACAAAAACAAAACAAACACTAGGATCACAAGAACAAACACTGAATGTAGGATCACAAGAACAAACACTGAATGTAGGATCACAAAACAAACACTGAATGTAGGATCACAAAAACAAACACTGAATGTAGGATCACAAAACAAACACTGAATGTAGGATCACAAAAACAAACACTGAATGTAGGATCACAAAAACAAACACTGAATGTAGGATCACAAGAACAAACACTGAATGTAGGATCACAAAAACAAACACTGAATGTAGGATCACAAAACAAACACTGAAAACAAACACACTGAATGTAGGATCACAAAAACAAACACTGAATGTAGGATCACAAGAACAAACACTGAATGTAGGATCACAAAACAAACACTGAATGAATAGGATCACAAAACAAACACTGAATGTAGGATCACAAAAACAAACACTGAATGTAGGATCACAAAACAAACACTGAATGTAGGATCACAAGAACAAACACTGAATGTAGGATCACAAAACAAACACTGAATGTAGGATCACACAAAACAAACACTGAATGTGTGGATCACAAAACAAACAACTGAATGTAGGATCACAAGGAACAAACACTGAATGTAGGATCACAAAACAAACACTGAATGTAGGATCACAAAAACAAACACTGAATGTAGGATCACAAGAACAAACACTGAATGTAGGATCACAAAAACAAACACAATCTGTAGGATCACAAAAACAAACACTGAATGTAGGATCACAAAAACAAACACTGAATGTAGGATCACAAAACAAACACTGAATGTAGGGAACAAACACTGAATGTAGGATCACAAAACAAACACTGAATGTAGGATCACAACAAAAACAAACACTGAATGTAGGATCACAAGAACAAACACTGAATGTAGGATCACAAAAACAAACACTGAACTCACAAAACAAACAATGTAGGATCACAAAACAAACACTGAATGTAGGATCACAAAAACAAACACTGAATGTAGGATCACAAAAACAAACACTGAATGTAGGATCACAAAAACAAACACTGAATGTAGGATCACAAAAACAAACACTGAATGTAGGATCACAAAACAAACACTGAATGTAGGATCACAAAACAAACACTGAATGTAGGATCACAAAAACAAACACTGAATGTAGGATCACAAGAACAAACACTGAATGTAGGATCACAAGAACAAACACTGAATGTAGGATCACAAAAACAAACACTGAATGTAGGATCACAAAAACAAACACTGAATGTAGGATCACAAAACAAACACTGAATGTAGGATCACAAAAACAAAACAAACACTGAATGTAGGATCACAAATGTAGGATCACAAACAAACACTGAATGTAGGATCACAAAACAAACACTGAATGTAGGATCACAAAACAAACACTGAATGTAGGATGACACTGAATGTAGGATCACAAAACAAACACTGAATGTAGGATCACAAAAACAAACACGATCTGTAGGATCACAAAAACAAACACTGAATGTAGGATCACAAAAACAAACACTGAATGTAGGATCACAAAACAAACACTGAATGTAGGATCACAAGAACAAACACTGAATGTAGGATCACAAAAACAAACACTGAATGTAGGATCACAAAAACAAACACTGAATGTAGGATCACAAAACAAACACTGAATGTAGGATCACAAAAACAAACACTGAATGTAGGATCACAAAAACAAACACTGAATGGATAGAAAACAACACAACCTGTGGGAATCACCTGGGATCTATCTATTTAGGATTCCAAAATAACATCATTTGGCACCCAAAGTAGGAGAACATACCACTTAAATTAACATTATTTTATTTAATTGGGATTATTTTCCTGAATTATGAAGCATCACAACACTTGCATGCACATCATTCATGTACAACATTACAGCCAGTATAGAACAAACTTTATGGATAACAACTTCTTATATTCGTGAGTGTGACGCTTCCATACAGATTCTTGTACTGTTGTCAAGCATCTGTGACAACGGTACAAGAATCTGTATCGAAACGTAACACTCGTGAATAAAAGAAGTTGTTATCCATAAAGTTTGTTCTGTATTGTACTTCCCAACTTCTAAAATGCCACTCAAAGATATTAGAGCCAGTTCCTGTCACTGGATCCTGTTGTCAAGGAAATACAACTCACATCTTAAAAACTAATTCTGTATATCATTGAATATCTTGAACATTTTGCATGCAGTATAGCTTTGCAATAACCTTGAGTGACGCACAGTCACAATCGGTTCATGATAGAGATAGTCTTGCAGACCGAGAATACAGGAGGCACGTGGTTATTCACTGTCCACAGACTGATCATGAAAGTTCACTGATGGAAGCACATGTCATCATGGTACTTCATAACATCAGTCTAGTCATACACAGAACTATGATGGTGTAGATAGAACTAGTTTCAGCCACTTGTTATAATTTCATGATGAAAAACTTTCCAGATTTAGAAAATCTGTATAAATATGAATGGGATAAGCAGGGATTTACCTCGACTCACAAACATGAATGACCTGGGGACCCCCAATTATTAGTCTTAAGGGTTCTTGCAGGCAATATGCGGGACAAAACCCTGGGATAAGTTCACCTCCAATCTGGGCATCATCACTGACATTTGCTGCAGACCTAAGAACAGCCTCCAAGCAGGTCCCACACTTGACCCGTGAAGGTCCGGTTTAGAAAATTGATCTTCAGTAACCCATGCTTGTCGTAAGAGGTGACTAACGGGATCGGGTGGTCAGGCTCGCTGACTTGGTTGACACATGTCATTAGTTCCTCATTACGTAGATTGATGCTCATTCTGTTGATCACTGGATTGTCTGGTCCAGACTCGATTGTCTACAGACCGATGCCATATAGCTGGAATATTGCTGAGTGCGGCATAACACTAAACTCACTCACTCACACACTCTACCCACACTTAGTCAGTACTAGTCAAAAAGTGAAAACATCTTTGCTTCATCTGCCATTTAGATGATAATATATGTTTAATTCACTGCATAAACTGTCAGTCAAAAATGAAATATTTATTATTTATGAAAATCATTGTATCTCTAAGCCTTATTAATGTTATTTGCTGCAGTTCAATATATTATGTTTTTCAATGAGCCTGTATTTTGTTGTTTGTTCATGAGTGAAACCAATTATCTTTGATTAACCAAATCTACAAACTTTTCATTAACCATATTTGGAAGGGGCGAGGAGAACATGGTCATCTTGGACAAGGTCAAGGGGAGTTTGGCACAATGATGTACAGTACACTATGGACTCAATGGGACCACTTAGTTTAATTTGTTACATCCTTAGTGCATAACGATATATATACACTTCAAGCGGAAAAACTGGTTGGATTGTTGTATCAGTGAGTTCATTGTAAGTGCGCTTTATAAATGTTTACTGTATAGCATCCGACAATGTTTGAAAAAATATGGGAAATTTTGCACTCTACATATGAAAAACACTGATCTTCACTGAAGCTCTTCTCTGTCCTCTTGTTGGCAATACAGTTATTTAAATAAAGGGACCCCACTTTTTGGCCAGGCTCGATTTAGTGCTTTGTTACTTGCACTGGTTCAACCGAATATTACAAAGTGCAACCTAGTTATTAGTCTAAATTGCACCAAGTGCAAATCAATTTTTGAGTGGGTAAACTTCTGAATAAAACATCTAAATAATTCAATATCATAATTCTTTCATTACATATTGCAATAAAAGCAGTGCAACTGGAAGTTGGCTGGTGCAACCACAGGAGCGTGTCACGCTTAGAAACAGCGTTAGAAAGACATATAGGTATATAGACCCTACCCTAGTACTATATAAAAGGAAAGGGATGTAACGACGGAACCACCCCCTCCAATACTCACTTGTCGGCCATAGATGGCCTTGACATTCAAGTGATCTGAGCAGATCTGCAGAAACTGAATTGGGCCATCCGACTGATGGAAAATATAATATACTGTAAGATTTTGACTGATTGCTAAAGGGCGTGAAATGTGAACTTTGCAATATTCCTTCTATTTTGGATGATGTACAAAACAGTAAATTGTTAAGATTAATTTTAGAGGTTGTAAAAATGCATTCGATATTGATTCATTTTTAGGATGTTATATTTATAAATAGTTAACCTCTAAAATTATTCTTTCCAATTTACTTCTCAGGTCACTTAAATGTCAAGGCCATCTATGGCTGACAAGTGAGTATGATTGCCGATGGTTTTGGAGAAAATGTCTGCTTACTGTCGAGGAAATGATTTGTAGATGTTGCAATAAGTTTTTAGACCCGCGGAATGACGCTGCCGATCAAATCTAGCCCTACATAGGTGCTGTCAACGTGGCTGGAATTAATAAACGAATTTCAAAGGTGAGTTTTCGCTGTCTTGGGTGATCAATGATTTTGGCTTGGAATTGCGGAGGTAGCTGTTTTTGGTGAGTCGTGGCGTATAACTTTTGAAATAATTATCCTATCGTGACCATTTATAGCTCAATTTTGTCGCTTTCGATCCGTAGGCCTCAACGGGGCCTTAAAAATATTTTACGTGGTAAAATCTAACTTTGATTGAGGAGTGGGTGGTTCCGTCGTTACATCCCTTTCCTTTTATATACAATGCCACCCGGTAATTCCGCGCACCTAAGCACATCGATCGCAACATGGCACCCAACGTCTCTTATTTTTTGTGGTTTAAGTGACTTAACATGCTGGTATGCATCATATTTACCTAGAAATATAAGTTTTATTGACGACTATAAGATTCTAATGTTGCATTATGCCATACGGTTGACCTTATCGGCGTTCTGACGACATCGCTTGCTGTCCAGTACTGCTGCGCAGCAACTGATGCGCAAAACATCCAGCTGGACATCCGAAGTATGGAAGCATATAAGAGCCAGATTATTTTCAAAAATCACTTCATCAATGTAAGGAAGAGTGTTTCATATTAAAACCAATTATGAATAATGAAGAAAAAAGGTTTAAAAGTCTGAAGAAAACAAATTTTCATAAAACTGTCAATTTATCTGTCAATTACTGTTCTTTACTTACGTTTAGTGATAAAAAGCCAGTCCCTTGTAGAAATGTCCCGATTTCAAGCGTAAATGTGGTAGCAGACGATGTGTACCTTCGATACGGATAATAATATTGCAGGTGCGCAGAATTACCGGACACGCGGAATTACTGGACTCGCTTGTAGTACTAGGGTAGGGTCTATATACCGATATGTCTTTCTAACGCTGTTTCTAAGCGGGACACGCCCCTGTGGGTGCAACTAGGTTTTTATCTTAGTTTGCTTCCGGTGCAAGTAGGTGAACAACTCTTAAATCGAGCCCTGTTAGCTGTGAGGTTATTTGACGTTGATGAAAGAACAAATTGTTACAGGGACATTGTATTTGGCAAACCCTAAAGTATTGATTTCATTCTGGGGTTACACCATTGTGATTTTCAAAAAGGGGGAGGGGTTTGAACCCCATGAACAACCCCCTGGATAAAGCACTGAGAGGCATACTATTACAAGACTAATTACAACGTTAGGATGTAGACTGAGAACCTGAACCAGACCAAGGAATATATTGACCATCCTCAGTTTATTGTTAACTTCATCAGTTGACATACCTGGCGATGACTAGAGCTGCATTGCTGGCCGTCCACAGGTTGTCCGTGTGGAGCAATGCCGTCACATTGTCCAACATGGCATCCACACAATCAGAACTCAGAATCCAGTTACGACCCTCGTTACTTTCAGCCTGAAAAAAAACAAGAATATAAATATAAAACATTCATTTCATCTTCAGAAAGTTTTCATAAACAACACGTTGGGGGAATCCAAGATGGTGGTTTTGCGGATCTGGACCTACATTTAGGAAACGATCTTAGTCCTAAAATTATCATAAAGTTATCATACAGAAATCGTAGACTGCTATGGCATATTTTCAGAATTGTCATAGTCCTTAGTCGTCAGTTTGCTGTAAATCACAGATAGCTCCACATCTGTCTTAAGTTTATTTTATCTTCATGCAAGATTGATCCAAGATGGCAGCAAGAGATATTTAAAGTCAGATGTGACCTGACAATGTAATCAGGAAATACTTGCCACATTATTGTCAGTGAAATCCATGTGAAGTTATTGGTAAAAACAGTTTTTTTCAAAACCACTCGTTATGTCACTATGTTTTAGGTGAATGTACTTATTCAGGTTTCACCATCTGGTCATCTTCTAAAGGATGAGAGCGGTCATAAAGGTGGAATATTGCTGAGTGGGACGTAAAACTAAACTCACTCACTCACTTAATGAGTGAGGATGAGTGAGTGAGTGAGTGAGTGAGTGAGTGAGTGAGTGAGTGAGTGAGTGAGTGAGTGGTGAGTGAGTGAGTGAGTATGGTATATGCTGCTTTTTATCCAGCAATATCCGGTTGGGGTGGGGTAGGGTGGGGGTGGGGACACCAGAAATGGGCTTCACCAGAAGTGGAGAATCGAACCCAGTTCTTCGGCATGATTAGCGGACACTTTAACCACTTGGCTATCCAACCACCCGGGTTCTTTTGAGAATACAGGATAAATGTACTGTATACTCGGGATAGTGACATCACCGGAAACACTGTTTGTCAACAGACTGAATAACAACTTGGTCACTAGCGAGCGACAATGTCAGCATTAGGTGCCTTGAGGCCCGCTTGCTCCCTGCACCCCATACTGCATGGTCAATGGAGCCTCCACAATTGTGAATTAAATTAAAACTCAACCAAATAACAATGAAAATCATTGCAATACGTTCAGCATCATGTTTTTCTTTATTTCATTTTATATCATTTATCTGTAGAAACCATATTTAAACAAAACATCTTTCATGAAATTTGAAAAATGGTATTTTGCAAATTTACTTCTATCTTTTGAGCCAAATATAAAAATGTCTAAAACAGGTATGACATTTTCTTTCTTAAACAGCTCTTTACATTCTCTTGTCATCACATTTTTTTGTACTTCCTTAAACATATTTGGGAAGTACCTTTTCTTCTCATTACTTACCAGCGTCCCCATAGTGCCTGCAGCATTCATCACACTCTCGGGGTCATCGAAGGTCAACATGCGGGTCAGGTCCTTCAGTATTCGACCACTGTTAGATTTTCGGCCCTTGGCCAGGGCCAGGACTCGGAAACATCCTATGTCAGACTCTGCTAGGGTGCCAATTATGTAGGCTGAATTCCCTGCAACTCTGGCAAAACAAATATCTATTATTAAATACAAATTAAGCTATCATATCCTTGGTACATGTATATTTTCCATAATGCCTTTTATTTTTATTGCTTGGTTTACGGATCCGTAGACCCAAAATATGAAGAAAGTGGAAAAAAACAAATTGTTTTTACATTTTATATTTTGCCATTATATGCCGCCGACCTGATAAAAAACAAAGAAAGTGAAAAAAAATAATAATAAAAAAATACCAAATTATACCTTTCAAATATTCCCTGAAACTATTTTATATTTCACAAAAGAAAATCACACAAATCGTCAGAATTCATATTAGTCATAACACCATAAGTGCAGCCATTGCTGCATTGATCACAGGCTGCTTAGCTGGCATGCTGCACCTGGCATATATGATATACTCAAGTGTGCAAATATAAAAAAAGGCCTAATGATGATAATAATGTATCTACATCATGTGTAACCAAAAGATCTTGACAGCCCGGAATTATAACAAGTCTTCTGAACCCATTCTGGATCAAAAACACTTTCAATCGGTCATACATCTCAGGACTTGGGTCTTTTAAGAGTGAGTGAGTTTGGTTTTACGCCGCTTTTAGCAATATTCCAGCAATATCACGGTGGGGGACACCAGAAATGCGCTTCACACATTGTACCCATGTGGGGAATCGAACTCGGTCTTCGTCGTGACGAGCAAACGCTTTACCACTAGGCTACCCCACTGCCCCCGGGTCTTTTTAGAGATTCTGATCCATATCAGTTGACTTACAAGTGTGGAAATGTAGCAAACATTATAGTTATTAAGTTCACTGATAAAAAAAAGCATCTAGCTATCAATGATGGGTTATATTTGACTGTGTTGCAGAGTATTTCTAGAAATTGTAATACTCTGTTTCTCTCTTTCCATTTATGTACATGTATGATTTTCTGGGTAAACTGTGATTATAGAACTTGATTATATTAGTATGTAGTCAAATAATAATTTTCACCAAGTACACAAGTAATGACTACTGTCTCACATTCCAGGAACCATATTATTTTATACACAATTTTTTTCTTTCTCCTTTAGACCTATAATCTGGTTATGTGAAATGTTGAAATGAAACCAATCTATATTTTTCTCAGAGTCAGGATTTACAATCTCTCTAAGCTCCTACACAATTTAAATAACGATATCTGTGTCTATCCCGATTCTATATTTTCAGGGACAGTCTACTGAAAGTTATTTTTCAACTGACACTGTAACCAATAGCCCTTTTAGCCGCTTTAACTCTGAAATCATATGAGATTTCTACTGCTCAATGGAACCATCACAATAAAGCTATAACCTCCCTGACAAATTACCAAAGGTCAATGGCGCCCTAACCTGTTCCATTATTTCCACATTTTGCCTTGTTCCATTCCTGGCCTAACCTTTCACCACAGACCAATTCAATATAACCACACAAAAGGGTATTTTGAGACACATGTATATTTCTGGAGCCACCAACAAAAGTCCCCTACAGAGTGGGAACAAGGAATATGACATATATATTTACACATGTATGCGGGGCAGGGTATATCCCACAATAACCCACACCGATATGTGTGATATATGCCATGACTCTTGGTACAATAAGTCAATGGGTGATGTACAGGAATTATTCCTGGAAAGACCTATACAATAACATACAATAACTGCAAGGGTAAGGGCAAGCCAGGAGAAAAACACATGTAAACAAAGATCAAACTGGCTCTCTGGCTTATTACAGTTTATTGCATTCTCGCCATGGTGAGGCCATTGTTTGTGTAGTGTTGTGTGGCCATAAAACACACTCAGACCGCCAGCTTTACTGCAGTGCAAGTATGTCAAAATGACTGAAGCTCTGCATTTCAAATATCAGATTTCCAAACTTGCCTGGTATTATAAGTGATCAGAACAGTGTGAGCATTCATATATTCTGAACTTCAGTAGGGTGACTGGAGACATGATACACAAGGTTAAAGTAATGTTAGTAACTTTAGTCAAGATTGCTGTTGTTCAATGCTGTAATCAGCAATATTTTAGCAATATGAAAGCAGTCTGTAAATAATGGAGGCTGGACCAGACAATCTCCTAATTGACATCATGAGCACTGATGTATACAACTGAATATGATTTGCTTCTTGAAACAAAAATGGGTTGCTGAAGATCAGTTACCCAGATCACCATGAGTATGGTAAAATTAGTAGTCTTAAAACTGTCTCAGTCATTTAATGATATTTATCGCTGACCAGCGGACTTCTTTCAAACAATTACTTTATGGTTTTATAGAGTTATCCTGATCACTAGAACAGCCTACTTTGGTTGGAGTAAATTTAAACAAGAAGACAAAGTCATCAATATCCCCCACAATGGTAAAATACTCTTCATGTCAGCTAGTAATGACTATGTCAGAAGTACGGTTTGATGTACCTCAGTAATGTTGATATATAGAGTGGTTCTGTTAATGTATGTCATTAGGTTCTTGGATACTCACAAAATGGAAAGAGAGTATTGAAAGGATTTAAATTTCTGTTCCGGAAAGGATCACCACCACCAATTTCAGTCGAAATAAATGCAAATATTATTTCATTCAGAAATCTAAAACTACCAAAAGGCACCAGTTCACAGCCATACCTATCTATCTGCCACGTTTGGTGAAGAAATTATAAACAGTTTTAACGTTCTGCTATGGAAAAGAGCACCAACACCAATTTCAGTCAGAGTCAAACTTGTTGTCATGGAAACACAATAAATATTTTATGCAGAAATCCAAAACTACCAAAACCAACACCAGATCTATCTATGCTAAGCTTGGTGATGAAACATTGGACGGTTCTAAATTTCTACTCCGGAAAAGAGCACTACCAGTGACCACAAATTTCTGTCGAAGTCAAAGTTGTTGCCATGGAAACACAAAACATATTATATTCAGAATTCTGAAACTACAGAAAGGCACCAGTACACCACCAGACCTACATATGTGCAAAGTTTGGTGAAGAAATATTGAACATTTTTTATGTTCTGCTCTGGAAAAACGTATTTGCACGGACGGACGAGACCAAAATAATACCCCCTTGCAAAACGTGTTGCGTGGGATAATTACAATTGCTTCACTGAAAATCATGAGGATCTTTAAGGTGTGGCAGTAAATCCATCAATATCTTGAGCACAGTGCAAGGGTTTTTACATGGGACAAAACCTCCTCCTATACCCAGACCAGGGAACAATGCTCCCCAAATAGTGCAAGTTTTCTTGCCAGACGTATGGTCCTTTTTCTCCATGACTCTGGTCTGTAAATAATTCAGCTGACTAACGTGATGATTTCATAATCGTTCCACACAGTCAGGGAATGATGAATACACAGTGGTTGTGGTGTATGGTCCCTTGAATATACCTCAGGTCACAAATCAGTTGAAGTTAAGCAACATTGGGAACGGAAAGTCCTTGGATGGGTGACTGTGTTTGGCAGCTTGACTCCTGAGAGTTTCTAGGACTCAGTCCTGCCCCACAACGAAGCACATGCGATGCATGTGATCTCAACTTAGGCAAGTGAGTTTGTCCAAAAATGCCTCTGTTCACTCAGCAGAAAATGGGTACCCGGTGGGATAAGTCAAGTGACTAAAGAGTTGCGGCTTGGGTTATCCGGGTTAATAATATGCTGGGCTTTGATTGTTAGTGCTATGAATACAGTCATATACAATCAACCAGGTCTTTATACTCATATATAGTCACCTCTTACAACCAATACAGGCTGATAGGGGCCTAACATGATTCTAACATGTTGTCTAATTGACACAGAACATAATAGGCTACAGTGGCCGAATCGTCTAACACTTCCTTGTATACAGTTATGTCACTTTGTCATGACAGGATCTGCTGATCATGTATTCAAATCCTATATTTGTCCTTTCATGATTCATGATCATCACCACACCCTTGCATACTGGGTCCACGAAATCACTCTGGGCTTTCTTACAAGTTGATCGGACACTGATATTACAGAAATAGGGTTAAAAGTAGCATAAATCCCAACTAACTCTCAGATGGGACTTTGTCAAAATTTGAATTAGAAATTATGAATTTGAACAGTACTCCAATCATATATCATAATCATTATCATGATTACAGGAAGTATTTGTAATGTAAAATGGGCTACATGTATTTGGGGTTGGGTAAATGTATTGATGGGGGAAAGTCATCAACATGATTAGATGATACAGTCTAAAGGTGAGGTGAGGTGAAATTGGGTTTTACATCGTGCTTGAGAATATTTGGCTCATATGACGACGTGCATGCGTGTGTATGTGTATGTGCGGCTGCTTGTACTAGCCCTGACTTAAGCTGTTTTTATAGTGCTAGCTCACTGAGATACCATGCCGCAGTGAAGCATGAATACCCCACTCAGACACATTATACTGACTCCGAGCCGACCAGTCCTTGTTGTACCCATTAATGCCGAACGCCAGGCAGGGACCAACAAGTACCATATTTTAACGTCTTTTGGTATGACGCGGTTGGGGATCGAATCCGTGATCTTCCGCTCTCCGAGCGGACGTTCTAACTACTACACCACGGAGGCGGTCCTACAGTCTAAAGACTAACTCCCCCAACCACACACCCCCCAGTCAGAAATCACCAGTCCCTAACACTGACGGCTGATCGACAACTACAGCATATATCAACCTCGGATGAAACGGTGTGCCTATTGTAGCCTTCACCTTACATATTTAACCAGCTACTTTAGTAATTATCACCTTTACACATTAGATTATCCCTGAGGACTGAAGTATCACTGGACATTCTAGGGTTAACAAACTGCTGGCATATTGTTTATGTTTGTTTGTTGTGTAACTTGTTTAATGTCACTCCACCACATTTGAACTCTATGACCGAGGACTGTACATAATCATATGTGAATCTGACAATTCAGTGATCAATTTTATCATCAGTGACCTACGTTACTGGGGAAAATACTTTTGAAATATTGCGTGTGTAAATTAAAACTATATTTCATCACAATAGTGAATGTAAAATATTATAAATGACACAATTTTCATATCCATGATCGGCAAAACATCTTCCCGTTGACAATATGTCTGATTATTGATGTTTTTAGGTAGCCCTGATAATAACATATGCCTTGACAGAATGAGAGCAGCTGTGGTTCAAACAACTGGTCGTGAACGCCACATTTCAACAATACATCTATGCTTTGAACCTAGCCTCTCATACAGGCCCTGAAACAAACATATCTACAAGTCTACCACTCTTTCGCAAGATTAAATTTCTTCAGATTAAGGGTCTCTATAGATCTTAAATGAAGAGGTACTTTGGGTTTCTTTCTATTGCACACAAAAGATAACTGGAGAAAATAAATTCCACAATCTCTTCAATACCATAATTACAGAAGTCTAACTTAGTCCACCACTGTCCATGCTGTCTGTGCCATGTGATATTAAATAACTGGGAATGGAAGGCAGTGAACATGCAGAGCGCTGCTGTTTCAACATGCTTTTATGCATATCCACTTCAGGGAATTAACTGTGAGCTAACCACAATCTTTGTGAGAAAAGTTTATAACAACACATTATGCATAACTGACATTTAAAATCATAAGTTATACCGATAACCCCCCAAAATAATGTGCTCCATATACTTGAAAGAAACGTGATTTAGCTGGACAGTCACGTATGGACTGAACAGACGTATGAGTTGTCTCCCCTATAATTGAAAACTATATATTTCATTTCTACATTCATGACATACTGTATGCACTCAAAGATGTTACAAACAACTTGTTTAATATAAACATAGGCAATCGTGTGATAGATGAACAGAATGTGTTTCTCCAATCTTGAAAAAATCTAAGAACAAAATGTTTCATGTGGATGACCTTAAACAATGTGAAGACTTAGATGACACAATGCATGACCATCATCTATGTCCATATTTTCACAAGAACATTATGTACAAAGTATTCATGATGTAAATTATTTGTATCAAAATCTCTGCAAATTGCAAATATGAATAAACGTGGCCTTTTGTCTGGCACACTTGCCCAGACTGACTGACTGAGTTTAGTTTTACGCCGCTTTTAGCAATATTCCAGCAATATCACGGCGGGGGACACCAGAAATGGGCTTAACACATTGTGCCCATGTGGGGAATCGAACCCGGGTCTTCGCGTGACGAGTCAACGCTTTAACCACTAGGCTACCCCACCTCCCCCACTTGCCCAGATGTTATATTTACTCGCCTGACTGAATATGACAGATCGGAGAAAACGAGTGCAGGTCACACCACTGACCAGTCATCACTCAATGCCCTGTCATGTAAAGACCTTTTTCCTTTCATTATCAGAGATAGGAATGAAGGAGAAGATGAGAAGCTTGTACATGCTGACCAACATCAAACATAATACTTGACCATGTTAATGTTTTTGACAATGTTACCTGACATTTTCCACTTTTGCAACACTGACTGAGCATTGAATACATTTTGTTTTTTTTGCAGACCGTCATCTGGTCACCTGGAATATTGATGAGTGCGCCGTAAAACTAAACTCACTCACTATTTTTGGCAGCAACAATTCTTTCGCAAATATAGGTATTACATGCTACGCTTTATCACATATATTACCATTCACCCGATGAAAGAGTAAGCATACACTTTGAAACGTCTTGTTATTCACAATAAAGAAGTTGACGTCCATAAATCTTGCTTTTCTTATATATGTGCTGTTCATCATCGCAGACCAGTGAAGGTCTGGGTTAGAATATTGGCCCTCAGTAACCCATGCTTGTCTCCCCCCGTGAAGGTCCGGGTTAGAATATTGGCCTTCAGTAACCCATGCTTGTCTCCCCCCGTGACGGTCGGGGTTAGAATATTGGCCTTCAGTAACCCATGCTTGTCTCCCCTCGTGAAGGTCCGGGTTAGAATATTGGCCTTCAGTAACCCATGCTTGTCGTAAGAGGCGACTAAAGGGGTCGGGTGGTGAGGCTCGCTGACTTGGTTGACACATGTCATCGGTTCCCAATTGCGCAGATCGATGCTCATGTTGTTGATCACTGGATTGTCTGGTCCAGACTCAAATATTTACAGACCACCACCATATAGCTGGAATATTGATGAGTGCGGCGTAAAACTAAACTCACTCACTATTTTTGGCAGCAACAATTCTTTCGCAAATATAGGTATTACATGCTACGCTTTATCACATATATTACTATATATGTGTTGTTCATCATTGCAGTGTCAGTTATTTATTTAACACTTGATGCATGTACAACATGTCTTTGTTACAGTGTAACATTTATTTTTTTTACACCATTAATCCATATATTTATCAAGCAATATTTTCATACATTCAACACCATAATAAAATATTTAATAATATTTATTATTAAATACAGAATTTAACAAATGATTTAAAATATTATTTTTTCCTTTGGTTAATTATTTAATCATGTATACCATGTAACACATGTTTTACAAATGGTTATAATATATTACCAGATCCCATAACAGATTTACATGTTTACTTGTACACAGATTTTGTCAATACATTTCCATACGACCCTGTGAACTATCATATTTCTGTCATTATGGTCACAGTGTCATGAAATCTTACCTGGGGATGTCACTTCCTAAGAGTCTCACCAAACCCCATAGGAAGTCTTCAGATCCGGAGTGACAGAGGAAACGACCTATTGTACTTTCTTTAGAAGTGTGCAGATCATCTACCAGCATTTCCAGTGCCGAATGTGATTTCTTATCACCACCGATCAAATGCGAAAAGTATTCCTCTGTCAGCCAGTTGCACGACATTTTCGTCATTTGATTTGGTCAATCAGGGTACATCCATGTTATCAGTCAATACAGAAACTATTTTCCAGCACAACATCCATGGGTATCGCTTATAGCGTCATGTTGTCATCGTATCCAATGTATGCCGTGAAGTCTCGTAAGGTCTCGCAGGTGCGCGCCGATTTGTGAGATTCAAGATGTCTGCGCCCATGGTGAAAACTTTCGGATGACTTTACTGTCAAAAATACTCTATGCCTCATAACTGTAAGAATTGCCTTTTTCATTCCGATGTCCACAGAGAATGCAAGGTATAGTTCGGCGACACAATATAAAAATAAGAGTATGATTGATCGGGTCCTTTAATTTGTACTTTTACAAACTTTTCTTACGTTACAATGTCAACTATAATTTGTGCCGATGTTGACACACCTATAAGTTAGTATAACCCAAGACAGTAGGCTGTTATCATTGCTTATTGTGTTCTTGTGAACGTTATAAAATGTTTGCGAAATAGATGCTGTGCACATACTTCTCATATTCATTAACACTAATAACAGTGCAAAAACATCTTTAGAAAGAATCCTGACACTCAGAATACAAAATAAATAAATTATAATGTTGTTGTTTTTTAAAATGAACAGTATTGAAGACTGATGATTTTTTATAAATTTTTAGATCAGCACTGTCATATTCTCTTGGATATCACTACATGCATTCCAGCGTGATACAGATATTAAACAACCCGAAACCACTATACATATGGGGATATGGGCTCGTCGGCCGTTTTCTGTACTGGGTACTGTTGTGTATTCAGATTTTGCCAAGGGTACATTTCTGTATACCAAAACAGGTAGCTGGGGTACAAAACTTTAGTACTTGTCGTATCAACAAGGACAGCATATTCAACTAATACCATGCTAGCTCAGATATCATAAAGGGGTGTTAACTGACAAGGGGTACCTAACCCAAATGGGATCACAAAGATAAGAACATATTGGTGGGTAACCTAAAATAACACAACTAACCTACTAACCCTAAGGATTGAGGAGGCACCAAGAATCTATGAAGCAAGAGTTGGCAGCTTGAGGCAATTAGTGCTGCAGTAGGCTGTGCCAGTTACCCCCAAATGTACTTCAGGCTAATTGGTAGTCCTTTCAAATTTGTTTCAAGGCACTCAACATTCATCTTCTGTCATAAGTTTTGTTGTGTAAAGGCCTAAAGCATTATGAGGGCTAAAGCTTTATATTATATGAAAAACACCCTTATAAGCCATTTGATTCAGAATATAATGACCAATGTTCATTTCTCCACAGATCATGTGAATTGTGAAAGACAGATGTCAAGTTTTATTGGTCATCTGAGACAGTACATTGTCAGCTATTCACATTATCATGTCCATGTTTGTTATAGTTACTAAATATTCATCTATTAATAATAATTTTGTCAGGTATCCTTTCGACATTCTGGTTGTCCATGTTCGTTTTTCCAAGCTGCCAATATGCAAGTGCATACACATAAATAATTAAGTGAAATATTCTGGAATGCGATCTTAAACCACATTTTAACTCACCCACCTCACACTCATCAAAACACTCACCCAATCACACACTCACATACTGTTCTGTGTCAGGTACACCGACGATGAAGACACAGTGCTGTGGATGCCTACACTGATGTAGCTGTAAGTCTGCACTATGGGCAACTACAAGTCAAGGCCAACCATATCCTGCTCAGGTATTCATAGAAAGAAGTATGGAGTAGCCTATTGGTTCGGGCTAGTGATCCAGTGAGCTTGAGGTGTCAGGATCGAGCCCACCTGTGACCGGGTGTAAAAACCTTAGAGTCAACTTCCTGTGCAGATTCTGTCAGTGTTGTCACAATCCCTAGTGTACAGTACACAACCCTGTGCACTTAAAAGAACCCACAAATCCGTTGGTATATGACCAGATGGTGGCCACATGAATACTTGCAAACACCTAGTTACGGGTACAGTAACGTGCAGTAAACTTGGACAAAGAACTGTGACTGTGTGTCCCAGTCCACCCAGCTGTGAATGGATACATCATGAGGATGAGAAAGCCACAATAACTAGTTGCGCCATGTGGATGCAGGAGTTGTATGATCCCCAGGGAGTTGAGATTGATAATATGATGTGCCGTTGAGATTGACATCCAATGACTGAGGGAAAAAATACCAGCGCCTTGAGCATGCACTAGTTGCGTGGATATGTGCGCTATATAAATATCCAACAATTCAAAGCACTTGTACACTCACACATCATGAAGAAAGTAATATTGGTCTGACATATATTTGTGACTTTGGCCCTAAGTCTATGTCACTTACATTTCCTTCCATTAAGTTTAGTTCATAACTGTCCCAGTAGTACTAGTAGCTTATGACTGCTGAGACTCACCTCTCTTCCTGTCTTCAGATGAGCTCAAGAAGAAGATCAGTGAGAGCTATGCCCTGTTCAGGTCCAAGGCCATCGAAGACCTGCGGCCAAAGGAGACAGAGTGGTCAGAAATTCAGGTTGCATGCAGGTCAGGTGTTTCTTGCTAGAGGAAACTCTTCACATACAACATGAATCATAGATCTACATTTTACAAGTTTCAATGAAATGTATAGAAATGTTTCATTTCCTTTGACCATAAATATGCAATAGGATGTACACTAGTGACATTATAAAAGTTCCCATTTGTACTTGAATTTAAAAAGTCGCTGCCAAAAAACTGTTTACATGAACTGAATTTTACATCGAACCTAAATTTAAACCCTTAAATCTGATGTCAGTTTATTTCATGAGTTACTCTGAAGTTGAATGAACGATTCTGACTGTTTCCATTGAATTCATCCAGTTTCTGGATAGGCCGAAACCAATAGGCTGTCATACCATATTTAATCCCTGGAATAGCAAAACTATACTGATGAAAATGTTAGGGATCATGAAAACTGTGGGGATAATTTTTTATTTAATTGTGTGCTCAGTCTTCACAAAAATATCAACTAAAAGATTCATGATCCCTGACAACTAAAATATACAGTAAGTGTGTGGGAGCAAAGAAACATCTGTTATATCTATCGGTTTGTTATCAGCATGTATGTTACTTGGAGAAACATCTGTTATATCTATCGGTTTGTTATAAGCGTGTATGTTGCTTGGACTTGCTTTTGGTGCAACCAACAAGACTCCAAACACGTTCACTGACTGCAACTCTTGTTTACAGTCATGGTGACACCCTTCGGGTCAAGGAGTTACTCTCGGATGAGGCTGTGCATGACAAGACAGACACCGGCCTCACTCTCCTCCACATCTGCTGTCTCTCCGGAGGTGAGTGAATGAGTGAGTTTAGTGTTACGCCACACTCAGCGATATTCCAGGTATATGGCGGCGGTCTGTAAATAATCGAGTCTGTACCAGACAATCCAGTGATCAACAGCATGAGCATCGATCTACGCAATTGGGAACTGATGACATGTGTGAACCAAGTCAGTGAGTCTGACCACCCGATCCCGTTAGTCGCCTCTTACGACAAGCATGGGTTACTGAAGATCAGTATTCTACCCGGACCTTCACGGTGATTTGGGCTAGAAATGACTCAAGGGCATTCCGGGGTACGAGTCCCCACTTTCTCATCTTCAACTTACATTGGGAATTCAAGGGTAGAATACGTCTCAGTGTGTATACCCTACTGGATGCAGCAAATAGATCCCAAGTACGCCATTTTTTCCTCTAGTGTGGCTCTGGCAAGGAACGGATCCGCATGTAAAGTAGGTGACATGTGGTTTCTATTAAGCATGGTCATGAGTTGTTCCATAACAAACACGTGTGTGTAAATATATCGGCATTATTCACTGACTCACCATCCTTCTGAATCCTTGCAGCTGGTCGGGATCTCATCAAACTGCTGCTAGACAGAGGAAGTGATATCAACAAACTGTCCAAGAACCAGTTCTCTCCCTTGCATCTTGCCAGTTACAAGGTAAGAGTGAGTGAGTGAGACTGTCAGTGCGAGTCAATGCGTGAGTGAGTGAGTCGTATTCAGACTGGTTTAACCGTGGAGACCTTTCTCTTCCAACTACAACAGTCTATGACTTCAGCCATCGTGTTTCATGAAAGAAGTTTCAGCTTGACTGATACATAGAGAATCTCACCCAAGTGTCTTCTGATATCAATTATATCAACACGAGTTGATAAAGTTACAAATATCTGAGGCTTGCCGAGGATATTTTTACTTTTATCAACGAGTGTTGATATATTTGATATCAGAAGACACGAGGGTGAGATTCTATTTATCATCCAAAATCACTGTTCATTAATTTTCAATGAAAAATGTACATCTCTGAACATGGTACTGCCATTAGACTTGCAGTGCAGCGATGTCATAGCATTGTGACGTCATCAAGTACATGACGTCATAGCATTGTCAGGGCATTGTACAAAATCTACTGTCAAAACGATATCTCCTAGGAGATATCATATGATCTCACACAACCGATATCTCCTGTGGAACACAGTTTTGGATGATAAAAGTCCTTCTCCATATTAAAACTATTGAACTCTAAGGGACCAGATTGGCTGCCGTGAATATTAAACTCTGTATCAGTGACTTAGTAGTGATGGCTATTGTGGTAACTGATGTCTATATTCTCTGTGTATTTGTGTAGATGCATGTTGGTAAGACAATCTACATTCATAGGTGCAAAGTTGCATGGATGTGTTGACAGGGAGATGTCGACTTGGTGGAGTGTTTGGCTGAAGCAGGGACGGACGTTAATCAGTTCGGCAACAGTGATGTCACAGCGCTCCATATCGCTGCCATGTGCGGGCATCATGAGGTCAGTGTACTGCGTTGGGAGAGTGCAGATCAAAACGTGGATCCTGGATAAAATGATTAGTTCATTATGTTTTGAGACATAAACACACACCTTCAAAACTTGATAATGCAGACATCTTGAAAGAGAATTTCCCAAAATCACTAAGAACATATACGACCTTTGTATAAGGTTCATCAAACCATGATATGCTGTTAAAAGAAGTTGAACACTGTGAAGACTTTCATGTTACTATAGCTGATTTGCAATTTATAGTGGTGAAGAATCTTGGGGAATCGCAATTATCTCAAACTTCTTTGTACTCCAATGAGTTCCAAGAATCCAAGAGGTTTCGGAACACACTTGTGTTTTAACTCATTTTATTACAGAAATGATGTATATTTTCGTTGCATTAGCAGACCTGTTTATCCCCCTGCTAAACTTTATCTGTCACCATATTTCTTTCGTTAAGTTTGTGTAGTTTTGACGAGTTTGTCTCTGATTTGCAGATAGCACGACTCCTGTTTGAGCATGGTGCCACGGTCGATGTTGAAGATGCTGTGAGATTCTCCCCCCTCCATGTAGCTTCATACTTCGGCCATGAAAAGGTAACATGACTTATAAACATGCGAACCTGGCATCATTCCATTTCCAAGGTTAACTTGAGTTCTTTCCCTTTCAACAGCCATTACTATGTGGGCAAATTATCATATTGTTTTATGTTTTCTTCATTATTTTGGTAAATTTAAGTGTTTTTTCTTTCAGATGGTGGAGTTGTTGATATCACAGGGTGCGGACATCAATGTGAGTGGCGGTGTTGGCGATCGACCTCTACATCTGGCATGTGCCAAGGGTTATCTGAAGATCACCCAGCTACTGGTGGAGGGAACATCTCAGCAGAAGGCAGATGGTGAGATGCTCCTGTTTGTTCGTAAATCCACCATTTGGAAGATTGAAATCCTCTATCCTCTTTGCTAACTGTCAGTCTTGAAGGTGAAGAATTTATTTCACAACCTTACAGTTATGTATCTGGGATGGATGTTGTCATGGTGATTTTCTCTTCTCAGTGAACATGAAGGATGATGAAGAACATCGCCCGGTTCACTTCTGCTGCAAGAGCGGCCATCTTATTATTCTGCATTATCTCCTGGACCACAAAGCTGACCCCCACGCCACCAACATCTACGGTGACACTCCACTGCATCTGTAAGTGTTTTACAATTCGGGGTGTTTGGGAGGTCACGTGTCCAAAGGGAGATAACTTAAATCGTTTTCAAGTATCATCTACTTTATGTCAGTGTTTCTTGTTATGATGGTTCCAGATACACTGGGATGTGTATGTCCTTGTTGAAACAGCAGCAGTGCTGTTACTTTACTTGTCATCTTTCAGAAGCCATTGCCTGATGACCTGTTGCACCCTATCCTTGTACAAGATGTACGTCATTATATATTCCAGAGCATGCTACAATGCCAAGGTAGAGGTTGCTAAGCAACTGATCAACCTGACTGATTCAGAAAGTCTTCTGACAGAGAACATCTTCAGTGAGACACCATTGCACAGGTCAGTGAGACACTTCGTAATTTCCATCATGTATTCGAGATGCTCCTTTATGATTGGTCCCCAATAACTCATGCTTGTCTCCCTGTGAGAATTCAAGGGTAGAAAAGGTCACAGTAACCAGTGTTTGTCTCCTTGTGGGGTTTCTAGGGAGGGATATTTCCAATCCAGGTTGAAACAGCATCATGAAACTGACGATATGTGTATCATCAAAATGTGTCACTTGCATCTTTGTGTTTCACTGTGATACCAGTGCCTGTACAAATGGCCGGAATCTGGAGCTGGTCAAGTTCCTTCTGGAGCAGCCTGTCGTCAACATCAACTACCAGGGCAACGACGGACACACAGGTAACCATGGTAACACATGTCATGGTGACAGGGTTCATGTGATAGATTAAACATGTAACTGGTGAATCCAGATTCTTTTTCATAGAGATCGTCCTTGGGGTACATATATGCATTTTCTGTGACTGAAAATGTCATGTGACAGTTGTATCAATGTTTTAATACAAATAATATTGTTAATATTGAAAAGCTTTCTTGACTCTACTTCCTGCAATTTTGTTGTCTGGATTTGTGGAAATAATTGTGTGCATGTTGCCATGGTTATAGCGCTGCACAGTGCTTCCTTCCACGGCCACATCCGTGTTGTGCAGTTCCTGTTGGAGAGTGGGGCAGATATGAACCTCATAGCAGCTGTCAGTGACCAAAATGGCGGCAGTGAGAAGAAGGAAGAGCAGACGGCTCTCATGTGGGCCTATGAGAAAGGTGAGATGAATAGCGTCAAGATCACAGGAGCTTGATAAATATCAAGAGATGTTGAACCATCAATTTATAAATGGATGGAAGTGTGTGGAGCAGTCTGATTGGTTAAGGAAATTAATGGGGCAGGATGTCAGAATTCTTTGGACTGCATCTGAATAGTTTTGTTGTTGATTTTAATTGGTCCTAAAAGACCTAAATCCAAATATAAATTATGTGAACACACCATTCATGTGAACACCATTCATCTGTAAGTACAGTCTTACTAAATTCTTATCAGGAATTGTGAAGTTGCTGTAGATATCCCAAGGGGGATAACTCTGATTAATGATGTCATATTGTATGTTTTCCTGACCTGCAGGTCATGACCAGATAGTGACGCTGATCAAACATCACATGCGACCACAGGATGAGTCAGCCTGTGGGGACTACTCACAGCCTGGGGGGACGGGTCCTATGTGTCTGTCCCCTCCCCCCTTGGGAAACTCCGCAGCATGACGAGAGGTAGGTACCACACGAAGTGTCTACAGGGGGTTTCTGGTTTTTGTGTTTCTTCACCCTGGGAAAACTCCAGCGGTAGATTCCAGGCCATACATATGACAGGCCCTTGTGTCTCCTCACCTCCCACCAGCACCTGAGATTTGGTACCAGTCTATTCCAGCAGTACCATTTGATTGGACAACTATTGGCTGTTGATAGCACACTGTCATTTGATTGGATGGCTGTTGATAGCACACTGTCATTTGATTGGATGTCTGTTAATAGTACACTATCATTTGATTGGATGTCTGTTGATAGCACACTGTCATTTGACTGGATGTCTGTTGATAGCACACTGTCATTTGATTGGATGTCTGTTGATAGCACACTGTCATGGATGGATAGCACACTGTCAATTGACTGGATGTCTGTTGATAGCACACTGTCATTGGACTGGATGTCTGTTGATAGCACACTGTCATTTGATTGGATGTCTGTTGATAGCACACTGTCATGGACTGGATGTCTGTTGATAGCACACTGTCAATGGATTGGATGTCTGTTGATAGCACACTGTCATTTGATTGGATGTCTGTTAATAGCACACTGTCAATGGATTGGATGTCTGTTGATAGCACACTGTCATTGGATTGGATGTCTGTTGATAGCACACTGTCATTTGATTGGATGTCTGTTAATAGCACACTGTCATTTGATTGGATGTCTGTTGATAGGACACTGTCATTGGATTGGATGTCTGTTGATAGCACACTGTCATTTGATTGGATGTCTGTTGATAGCACACTGTCATTTGATTGGATTGCTGTTGATAGGACACTGTCAATGGATTGGCTGTCTGTTGATAGCACACTGTCATTTGATTGGCTCTCTGTTGATAGCACACTGTCATTTGATTGGATTGCTGTTGATAGTACACTGTTGTTTGATTGGATAGCTATTTGTAGCACTGTGTCATTTCAATCTGGATAATAAGGAAGCACTGTCATTTGATTGGATTGCTGTTGATAGCACACTGTCATTTGATTGGATTGCTGTTGATAGTTAAGCAATGTTGGGCGCGGAGAATCCTTGGATGGGTGAGCGTGTTTGGCAGCTTGACTCATGAGAGTTTCTAGGACTTCAGTCCTGCCCCACAACGAGGCACACGTGATACATGTGGTCTCACCTTAGGCAAGTGAGTTTATTCAAACTTGCCTCTGTTCACCCAGTAGAAAATGGGTACCCGGTGGGATAAATCGTGACTATTAACCTTCTAGCGCCTCACAGGCAGCTTGGGTTATCCAGGGTAATTATAATCAGATTGTAGCGCTTTGAGCGTGCACTCTGTGGTGGGGAATTCAGCACATTACAAATGCCCTTATTATTATTATAAATGTGTCCAGGGCCTTTATTGCCCTGGCATGGAAATAACAGTGAGAGGCTGAATGTCCACCCTAATGTCTGTTTCTCCTGTTTTCAGAGAAGATTGATGTACTACAGCTGCGTGCCACCCTCCCGTCCCGGTTCCATCTGCAGATCACAGACATCGAGTTCCAGGAAACCATTGGAAGCGGTTCCTTCGGGAAGGTCTACAAAGGAAAGTGCAAGGGAAAGACAGTAGCCATTAAAAGGTACAGTTACATTTTTCATCTCATTCTGCATTTAATAAATATCATCTTTAAGCGTCTTAAGGCGTGCTGCGAATAGATCAATGAAACAAAAGGGGCAAAACATGGCAGAGAGTCCAGATATTCCATCCAGTCAGCTGCTAGATGATCGACCCTCTCCGTCTGGTGTTCTGCTAGAGACCCCTGCGGCAGAGGAGCGTGGGACGCATGATCCGTTACCTCGAAGAAACGACCCTCCCCAGACATCCGTCTTTGCAGACCAAGTCTAAGAGGGCCTCATCGCTGCCTCAACGCAGATTGAGGACACTCCAGGGCAGCGCCAGACTTCCAAAGGGAAATCACGAAGACAGCAAGAACTTTCTCAGCGAGATCGTTCCAGCAGCAGAATTGGGCCTCGATGATCAGCCGATAATCATCCCCGACTTACGGCAGAAGAAGCGACCGGTGTCAGCGACTGTGACTTCTGCAGAGATCACCATGCAGCCTGATGCCTCTACACCCGGCGATCAGGCGTCATTGATGTGAACCCCATGCGCGAAAAGGCATGACGACGCGCGTGCCAGAGATCATCCCAGAAGACATGATCACGGCAGATTATGAACATCATGGAGGACCACTACAAACTTCGCGCCAAAGCGTCCGTCGAGCCTGCGAAGGCTCCAAGCGACAGCACCCAGAGGCACCCCCGTCAGCATTAGCAGCCAAGGCGATGTCACCTTCGCGAAGGAAGTCCGCACCACCTTGGCGAAGGACCTAGATGTACAGCCTTCGCAAGGCCTTCGGCGAAGCTGGAGAGATCATCACCATCTTCGATTTCATCTCTAGATATGGACTCAGACCATCAGACACACGGAAGCCGAAGCTCAAGTCATATCATCGATCCGGACGGACCGATGAAATGAAGCTTCGCGAAGGCATTCGCTAAGGACATATGATTCCAGATCTTCATCATCTAGAAGAACATCGTCGAGGCGGCCGAAGAGCAGCGAAGCTATCAACATTCACCTCACAAGTCTCGAGAAGATCATCCCATGACGCATCTCCACCGTTCATCACCAGGTGATCACCCGTCAGATCTCCACATAGAAGCGGCGCACAAGTCAACTAGATCGCATACAAACCTCATCAGATATACAGACAGCTACACCAGTCGAAGAGCATCTACAATTTGTTAATGATGATGGTTTTGAGGATGATGGAGGAATCATATTTTCTGATGCAGAGATAATGGTATTGGATGGTCAATAACCTAGATCTCACATCACCATCTAAAAGTGGCAATACAAGCGCAGGCGTATTTGATGAAGGAAGATGATCCAGATGCAATCACTCTACCCGATCGCCCGATTGCGGCAGTGCCACAGAATCTAGATGCAGCTTTCCAGAAGCTACGAAGTTCAGATACCACATCTGCCCAACTTTCAAGCCAAGAAGTTCTCCGCATAACATGGACTCCTTCTACAAGGCCCAGGACATCGATGAGAACTATAAGATCATCAGCGATGTAAAGAACAAGATTTACAAGATGGATGATCATAGAAGTTGGCTCATATAGAAACCATGGCGAGGCGGTATGTTCTTTGGGTTAAATAGATCTAGGGCGATCAATGAGACTCTTATTACTAGATTCGGGATTCCACGATGGAAGATGATAGAATGATTTATTCTGCCTTACTTATGCAAAGAAAGATCAGCGGTTTTTAGCGGATCATCTTACATCTGTTTCAGCAGCACTGACCTTAGCTTCGTCAAGGCCTCCTCGCCTCCTGTAATTGGGGAGAACTTTACAGCCCCACTTTATACAGCCCCGTGGTCGACAACATCCATCTTTGGCCGGAGAAATCGACAAAGTCGCCAAAGGAAGTCTCTCTAAGGATTCCAGGGGAAGTCCTTATGATTAGATCGATGGACACATACTAGCCGTCATTCGGTCAGACTTCACAAAGATACTCAGGCAGATCTAAGTTCACGGGCCTACAAAGAGCAAGAGACAGGAAGATAGCCAGCTCTAGAGGTAAAGATTCTTTTAAGTCACGCCCATATGGCAAGCTATAGAGGAGGGATCAGGAAGAGGCAGGACACCCAGAGGTTCCCGCGGTATAGACGCTGAAACACGGGTTGAACGACTGGAGTCTTCCACCCCCCAGCCGTTCCAGTACAGCCAGCTCAAGTGGGTGGAATTTCTTCCAACTACACTGGGAAAACGGGGAATATTGCAAGACCCTACGCCTCCAACATTCTTCAACAGTTTAGATCCCGCTGACAATCAAACCCCCAAGTTCGTTTACAAAGCATGGCAACTACCAAAGATAAGAGAGGCTGTTTCATCACTCCTATCCAAACAGGCCATAGAAGTAATAGATCAAGCAAGCGCCGAGACCAGGTTTCTACTCCCCAGTTTTCCTAGTTCCCAGAAAAACTCCGCGGAGAAATACAGACTCATCTACAACATGAGCTTTTCAACAAGAACTATCACGCAAACCACGAAGTTTCAAGCATGATACATTTACCTCGAGTTCATGCCAGATGATTAGATCCTATGGACTACATGGGCAGCATAGATCTACAGGATGCCTACCTGCATCCCCATTCATCCCGATTCCAGGAAATACCTACGATTTACTCTAGAAGGGCTACATTACCAGTGTGAAAGTACTCCCATTGAATATCATCAGCCCCTGGCTATTCGAGGATAGCGAAACCCGATTATCAAATTTCTACATCGTCAAGGGCTGCGCGGTGCGTTTTACCTCGACGACGGGATACAAAGTAGATCAAGATCCACTGCGTCTCAAACTACAGTTAAATTACATCATAAAGCTACTAACACAACTAGGTTGGATTTAGTAAACTTACGCAAGTCGGACCTAGTACCATCGCACAAGACCTGCAGTTCCTAGGTATTCGATTCATCACAAATCATAACCGTATTTTGGTACCAGAAGACCGTTGGCTCAAGATACAGCAGACCATTCCACCAGCTCTACTCTCTCCGTTACCACTCGACAATGGCAGAGCCTACTAGGTCTTCTCACATCAGCCCAAGACATGACTGTCACAGGCAGATTACAGTTCACGTCCCCTACAGGTCCTCATCAGCGCACATCTCAGCGATGTACAACCATTCAGTCTACCCGAAACATCTCAGGCCGCATCTACTATGGTGGACCAAAAATCGAATGTCTGCGAAGGGATTTGTTTAGCAGAGCAGGAATACAAAACCCATCTGTATGTAGAGCAGCGTCACTCCAAGGTTGGGAGCTCATCTCACCACCACCACGATATCAGGGTTATGGAATCAGCAAGAATGCAAACTCCATATAAACAGTCTAGAAATGAAAGCTGTAATCAGCGCCATTCTACATTGGGCACATTTCTACAAAATCGCGCCTAATGATCCATACAGACAATTCGACAGTGGCGTTCTACATAAACAAGCAAGGCTCAGCGAGATCGATGAACCTTTTGAACCTAAGCTTTCAACTGTTCGATTTAATACAAGATCTAAATCTACATGTCAGGCAGTGCATTCCGGGCCAGAAATATACTAGCAGGCGGCTCTCTCTAGGCCTCATCTACCATCACCGACAGAGTGGATGATCAACAGGGAAATTTTTGCACAGATAATCAAGCAATTAGGAGCCGCTAATAGACCTATTAAGCATGCAGCGATTCAGCAATCAGCTACCGACATTACGTGTCACCAGTCCCAGACCCCAAGCTTGGGCAGCGGGCGGCTCTAAGTCTATCATGGGAAGGCCTCAATGCGTGCAGCGTTTCGCCGCCAGCAATAATACCTCAAGTATTACAGAAAATCAGACAAACACAGAGCCACTACAACTCACTTTGGTGCGCCCTACTGGCGGCCAGAGCGTGGTTTCCATACTAATTCAAGAAATCGGTCAACCAACACTGGAGCTACCCAGCGCGCAAACCTGTTAATTCATCCTCACACCAAACAAGTGCGGAACCCAGCAATGTTCCAACTGCATTATGGACTGTATACAAATGTGTTTAAACAAGAGGATATTCTGCCAGGCGGCAAAAGCAGTCAACGCGCTACGTTACTCAACTTCGTGGCAATGCGGCGACAAGTGGCACAGTTTGAAAATTATGCAACAAAGAAAGGGTTTACAGCAGAGAGGCTTCCACAACCTCAAGTGGCAGACTATTTGTGTTACCTCGCCAAAACAAACATTTAAAAGGTTCAACGATATCAACATATCTTGCGCGCTTAGTTCTGTAATCACCATGAGAGCGGGTGTCAAATTGACAAGATCTCCAGAGTTACTGGCCTTACTCACGAGCTTTCCGATTGGAGGACCAAAGCGGAAGTTCCCGCCCAGCTTGGGATCTGAATGTAGTGTTACAACACCTCACGAGTGAGGTCTATGAACCTTTGGAATCGACAAACTTTGAATTTCTCTCACAGAAAACACTGTTTCTGCTATAAGCTAGCCACAGCAGCAAGAATGTCTGAAATTCAGCTCTGGATTCACGAGAGGATACAGTTTGATGACAATCATAACACAGCGCACCTCGGTTAAGATGGGATTTCATCGCCAAAAATCAACTGCCAGGTCAACCAGACAGATTATTCCACATCCGGCTATCCTCTATTCTCGGATCAGAAGATACACAAGACCTATCACTGTGTCCGGTAGGCTCAAAGTTTATTTCTGACGATCAAAACAAGGAGAAGATTTCTCAAGCGTTTATTCATCCCCTTATAAGCCTCTGAATCAAACAGAAGTGTCACGGACCACAATATCTATTTGGATAAGGACTGTCATTCTCCGTGCCTACAAGGCAGCAGGCTTGGACCCACCAACAGCATCAAATCCACATGAGATCAGGGCACTGGCCTCTACCCTCGCCCTACGGTAACTGTTCCTTGAACACGATTATGGAAGGATGCTATTGGAAATCTAACATGGTATTTGCTAATCACTACCTGAGAGACATCACTACAGAAGATGTCTCTGGCATTCCACCATTCGGAC